GCAAATTTCCTCGCACTATAGTGGTCCTTTAACAAAAAAGTCTAGCTTGTTTTATTTATCTGTTGTGGTGTTACAAAAAAGGTTGTAACACTAACCCATTAATTAATGGGGAAGACAAATTAGTTAATCCTATTTTTGTGGTGTTGATGAGATGTGAGCTTGAAATATTGATTAGGGAGATTCTAAAAGCACAGCTATTAAAGTATAATGATTCAAGCAAGTGGAACAACTGATGCTTTAAGTTTTGAATTGCAGTGTAAGAGCTATGCCTCTCAAAGTCTTGTGCAATCATTTTACTATCACAATCAGATACTGTTTTAGGAGAACTATTTACTTTTAACTATTAACTTTCTTGTAATGTAAATGTTTTCCTTCATTTGTAGGACAAGAAAAGTGTCTTCCTGATGATGAGAGTTCTTGCCATGGTCTCTGTTATTTTTGAGAAGCCAGACTAAGCTTGTGCGGCAGCCAATGCATTTTGTCAAAGGAAAAAAATTGTTAAAGGGCACTATCATTTTACAGATTTTGACAAACCGTTTTGGATTTTTCTGTGTTCTAGACCTATCTGACAATTGCTTAGGTTGGATGTTCTTTTTATGCTGGATTGTTTGCAGTTTCTTCGAATATGTAAGCAGTAGGTGCTTTATCTGTCATTAACAAGAAAAGGATTGTGTTGCAACAGGAAGCAAATTTAAAAAGGAAAAAAAATAAACATTTCACAGGCCGATGCGGAATTGAAATGGTGACAATGTTTTAGTCAATTTGCTACAACCTTTTACCATCACCCAATAAGGAACATATACATTTATTACAAAAAAAAATATATACATGTGTTTCTTACTTTTTTATTGCAGGAAATAATTTTTCAAAAATATTCACAATGGTATTAGATCAACAATCAGAGTTCTATAGTTAAAAAAGAAACGTGAAACCTTACCGTCTGTGACTGCATCTTCAACGATATTGTTGCTTTTTCTTCTTTTGGAATGTTTGAGTTGATGATTTCATATAAATACTTATTGTGATGGTAAAAAGAATACACTGCGAAGAGTAGAAGGTTGGTCAGGAATACAAGAGCATAAATTCCTTGACTGGATGCCATAAACAAGTAATCTCTTTTGCCGCTCATATGAACGCCACAACGAACGACCATTGCCAGCAAAACCTACGAGAAGGACCTACAAGTACAATACAGGTCATCTCTCGAAAACTCGGATTCTTTCCTCCTTAATTGTAGTTTGCATCAACTGAATCTTTCACATACTTTTAGGTCTCTTAAAACTGGAATATAATATAAAAGGGACCTGAACTTTTATTAAAGGCCCCAAAAAAGGCTTTATTTGGATATTTGTTAAATCAAGGCTTTATCCAGGAATTAGTCGGGTCTTGTAACTTGGGGATGCACACAAGAAACTAGATATTTTTGGTTGCCTTTAATTTTGTTCTTTCTTTTGCCTGTTTGTACCAGCTTGGAACAAATTCTGTTTTCCTGAGGTTTTGTTTTGCTTATGAGTCCCGGCAGTGGGCCCATGAAAGAGTGTGGATACAGTGAAATTAATACTCGTGGCACCTCCCCCATGGAGTCTCCTCCTAAAAAGAAAGCTGCTGCACAGAAGAAATGGGAGGTTTTCCCAGGTAGGAACAAATTTTTTTGCGATGGCAGGATAATGATGGCCAAGCAAACTGGAGTCTTCTACCTCACCCTGATCCTTATCCTGCTAACCAGTGGACTCTTCTTTGCCTTTGAGTAAGTGTCATTACTTCTGTGTGTGTATCTTAATTTACATAAAATGTTTGTAAACTAAAATAGTCTAAAATGTTTTGATGGATATTACATTTTCTGTATATTACTCAGACTTTTGCTTTATTGTGGTCTGGGTATTGCATTAAAGGACCACTGACGTTTTTATTTCTTTTGGTTCTTGCTAAATAGTTTCTTTAGTTGGCTCCACAAATGTATTGGATTTAGGCCACTTCTTGCACACCGCAGAATCATGACAAGGAATCCTGTTTAAACATATAGGTTTCCTTATTCTGGAAAAGATCACATGCTAATATAATCTGGCTCAACTATATTACTAATGTATTTTTTTGTTGTTGTTGTTGTCATTTACAGTACCATCAATTACTCGCCCGAACATTTTTATGTTCTACAACCTCAGATCATACCACTAACTGGATGCTTTCTTGTATCTGTAATGCATTCAGGAAGCATATTGTCTCCAATTCCTAGTCTTACACTCTTTATTCCATCATCGCCAGTTGTTGATATTTTGGTCTTATTTCTCCAGAGGACTCTGCCCCACTGTTCCTCGGACCAATTAACATTGTTTTAGCCAAGTGTTGCCAAAAATGTAGCTCCCCAGATGTTGTATAACTTCAACTCCCATGATCCTGTGTACATTTTTGCATGCCTTTAGATTGACAAGGCATCATAGAAGTTATAGTTTTAAAACATCTGAGGTTCTTCCTTTTGGGCACCAGTGTTTTAGCTTATTCAAATATCTTCCTTATTTGTTTAGGGGAAAGAAATTGCTTTTTCCAAGGAATTGTAAAAATTTTTTTTTTTTTTTGAGTCCGATACTAACCGTTCTAGCAGTAATCTTAACACCTTAAGACTGAGCCAAATGTACACATTGTGATCAAAAAGTAAACAAAACCTTGAATTTAGGTATGAAACATAATTTAATATGAATAAAATATAAAAAAGGGGGAAAATAAACTTTATATTTTTTTTTTTTTTGTTAGTTCTACGTGACCTATTAACTGTGACTGTCATAATACGCTTTGCTTTTACTGCAATAAAATACACATTTGTGTTCAGCGATGTCTAAAGTGTAAAACAGTACCCCCTATGTACAGGTTTTATGGTGTTTTGGGAAGTTACAGGTTCAAATATAGCATGTTAAATTTTTCAGTTTTTTTCACATTGAAATTCGCCAGATTGGTTACGTTGCCTTTGAGACCGTATGGTAGCCCAGGAATGAGAATTACCCCCATGATGGCATACCATTTGCAATAGTAGACAACCCAAGGTATTGCAAATTGGGGATGTCCAGTCTTTTTTAGTAGCCACTTGTTCACAAACTCTGGCCAAAGTTAGTGTTAATATTTGTTTGTGTGTGAAAAATGTAAAAAAACTAATTGGAACGCCAATTTTGGCCAGTGTTTGTGACCAAGTGGCTACTAAAAAAGACTGGACATACCCCATTTGCAATACCTTGGGTTGTCTACTATTGCAAATGGTATGCCATCAGGGGTAAATGTCATTCCTGGGCTACCATACGGTCTCAAAGGCAACGTAACCAATCTGGCGAATTTTAATGTAAAAAAACTGAAATGCAAGCCTTGTATTTGACTCTGTAACTTTTGAAAACACCATAAAACCTGTACATGAGGGGTACTGTTATACTCAGGAGACTTTGCTTCAAATCAGTAAAATGTATCACTGATGATATCGTTGTAATACATTTTACGGCGACCGGGTAAGTACAAAGGTCGGCGGGGACGTGCTATGCGGTCCTTAAGAGGTTAAAACCAGATGGAGACCATTTTTATCTCTCACTTATAGTTTTTGAATTCTTCTGTCACAACATGCATTGTGCATCTTCGATGGAGTATGCAAATATCTCTTGCATAGGTCAGAAATACCTCCTTTTAGTTAGATTTCCTAAGAAGTGTAGCCTTCAAGCAAAGTTGTTATTTTTCCATCTCTTTTTAGGTGACAAGTCAACTCTTTTCGTAAAGTTTCTTGACCTCTTACCAAGTTAAACAGTATACTACGTTATTAAGGAAAAGGGAAAAAAATAAATCTGACCAACAAAAAATGCCAACTTGATGACACTCAAACAACTAATGAGTCCTATCATTAGCTCTGATACATCCTAATAGGAATTAAGATGGTTTCGTATAATGTCATAACACCTGATTGGCTCTCAGAACATTGGTCAGTTTTGAGTTAAAGGACCACTATAGGCACCCAGATCCCTTCAGCTCAATGCCATGTCCCCCTAATTTTAACCCTGCAGCAGAAACAGCTCTGTTTACATTGAGGGTTAATCCAGCCTCTAGTGGCTGTCTCCCTGACAGCGGTTTGAATGCGCATGCGTCTGTCTGCGCATTCGCAGCCGACGTCGGCAGGGAGAGGAGAGGTCCTCAGCGCCGAGTTAGCGTGGCGCTGGATTAAGGTAAGTGGCTTTAACCCCTTCCGCCCAGCGGGAGGGGGGACGACGTAATAACCCTATAGTGCCAGGAAAATCAGTTTGTTGTCCTGGCAGTATAGTGCTCCTTTAAGGAGTTTCTCTACATGTTACATTAGGCAGCTGTGTTTTACTTTTCTAGTTATGTAGCTGTGACATTTAGTAGAATAAAAAAAAGATTTTTCATTGTCTTTTGCATAAAATTATCTTTTTATAATGATATGTAATTTATGGCATTTTTAAGACTTGTGTTATTAGCCCTAAATGTTCCACAAGGTTTCAACAATTGTTACCAATGGTTTGTATAATATAATGCAAGGAGTCAGAGTTCAAGGTTTTGTGCGCCGACCACATAGCCCTGGAATTAGTAAACTTTAAATATAAGGCTTGATTAAAATATGGCGTTGATTCCTTTCATATAATGGTTTTGTTCTGTCACTTTTAATAACTCTGTCACTTTCACCTTCTAGTGGTTATGATGCCAGAATGCCTCTGGAACCATCACAGTATTCTGTGTTAAACCAGTTTATTAACTTTTTACACAAATAATGTAGAGGCATTATAGTGTTATGAATACAAACCTCTACATTAGAGTGCTGGACTACCTAGTTAGGTGAAAAAGGTTACATAGCTTTTAGTGTACCTACACTTTCAGTTCTTGGTTTCTTAGAATTTATGTAATTAATGCCTTGGGGTTGGTTTTGCTCTCTTTGGCTATCATTTTTTCATTTTGAAGTTTAGCGAAACTAATGAACTTTTTGCACGCATTATTGGCTTCCTTATATCTTTTATAGGATGCATCTGATTTGTCCGATTTAACCCCTTGAGGACCAAACTTCTGGAATAAAAGGGAATCATGACATGCCACACGTCATGTGTCCTTAAGGGGTTAAAGGCCCTTTTCTAATTTTTAGTCTGTTTTACTTATCTACTAGGCCACATGTTGGTCAGAAGATCAAAGTTGTTTGTTAAAACCAGGTCCAGACAAGCGTCCTTTCTAGTTGGTGCTTGTACAAGTTGTGACATGAAGGTGTCATTTAAACAAGTTCAAAAACCTAATTCCCTATGCTGAGCTACTAGTCCCTCTGTCCCAATTTATGTCTGGGTAATTAAAATCTCCAATAATTAACGTGTTACCCAGATTTGCAGCTTTCTCAATTTGCTCAAACTACTGTTCCTCATCAATATTAACATTAGGTGGTTTATAACATATCTCAACCAATAGTTTATTTTCCTTCTTTTGCCCCAAGAAGATATTTACCCATAAAGCATCCACATTTCCCTCCTCACATTACACTTGCTTAAAGGACCACTATAGCGCCAGGAAAACACTCTTTTTCCTGGCACTATAGTGCCACTAGTGCTCCATATCGTCTGAATGCGCATGCGCGGCAGGAGCTGCGCGCATTCAGCCAGTCCAAAGGAAAGCATTCTCAATGCTTTCCTATGGACGCTGGCATCTTCTAACAGTGAGAAGCGCCTCTAGCGGCTGTCACTGAGACAGCCACTAGAGGCTGGATTAACTCTATTCTACAAAACTGCTATGTTTATAGAAGAAAGGGTTAATCCTAGCTGGACCTGGCACCCAGACCACTTCATTAAGCTGAAGTGGTCTGGGTGCCTATAGTGGTCCTTTAAGATTTGTCTTAAACTCATGGTTGACATACAAACTTATACCACCACCTTTCTTGTTTTTTCTGTCCTTCCTAAGTAGGACAGAACTGCATTTTACATCCTGCAGAAACACCTACCACTCTCAGGTACTGACTGAATCTGTGAAGATACTCCACCTTATTTATTCTTGGATTGTGGCAATATCACGTGTTCCTATAGAATTGTTACCATTTATACCTGTAGTTTGCCACTAAAGTTCTGTGCATGCAGTTTGTATTATTGTCATTCATGTTTCTGACCAATATTTCATGTACACAGTTATTAATATATTGGTTGCTAGAATTTGGTTGCTAAACTTTCCAATTGTATTCAACACATGGCTAGTCTACCTCCTCCCCTCTCTCCCTCTTTGCTATCCTCCTCCTAGCTGTAAATACCTTCATATAACTATTCAATCTTCTTCTCTGTTCTTCAGGCCTTACTTCACACTCAAACTCTGTGAAGAACTGCATCTTTTTTCTCACCACTTAACCCTCCCCCAATATATTGCATGAGTCTCACTCAATTACCTTGTCACTCCCTTTACAATTTACCAATAGCTGCTTCTCTCTGTTAACTCTTTTAGCCATCACCTCCAAATTTCACCTGCTACCTCTTTGTCTCAGTTCCCCACTGTATCCTTTAGATTGTAAGCTTACTGGCCATCTAGCTAAGCACTTTGTATAAAAGAGCTCAAATGGCTAGATATCAGCTTACGGGCAGGGCTCTCTCTACCTCTTGTATTTGTCTGTGTATATTGTACCTTCTCAACTAATTGTACAGCGCTGCGGAATCTATTGGCCCTTTATAAATACCAGTAATAATAATAATAGTGTGTACCCATTTAGGTTAACTGCCCAGTCATGTGTCTCATCCCACCATGTTTCAGTTATGCCTATTATATCATATTGTTTAGTGTATGCTATTGCCTCTAGTTCCCCCAGTTTATTTAGGCTCCTTGCATTAGTAAGCATACATTTAATATCATGAGTCACTTGTACTCTTTGTAAATTATCAACATTATATACATTCTCTGTTCTAAGCTTGCCCATCCCCCCCGTCTCCATCCCCCTTATACTGAGCTAAAGCCCATGTCCTTCCTGTCCTATCTCCATTTTGTAGATTGCTATGACCCTCCCCCCCTCCCCACTACTAGTTTAAAATCTCCTCCAACCTTCTAGCCATCCTATCCCCCGGCACTGCAGACACTCTCCCGTTTCGGTGCAACCCATCACTGCTATAAAGGTTGTACCCAAGCGCAAAGTCGGCCCAGTGTTCTAAAAACCTCAAACCCTCCTTCCTGCACAAAGACTTCAGGTTAGTTTCCTTTTCTCAATCGTCGCCCTGATTTCGGTGCTGCTTGGCCCCACCTCCATGGCTCCAAGATCATCAGTCTTAATAATCTCAGTAATCCGTTGCTTTCCCATAGGAAAGCATTTTGAGGCTATTGTGCATGTGTGGCAAAACGCTGTTCTACGCCACGCCATATGTCCTCATAGAGATGCATTGAATAAATGCATCTCTATGGCTAGCGTTCAGCGTCTCCATGCAGAATACTCTGCATGGAGATGCTGAATTTTCCTCATAGAGATGCAGTGCTGTGTTTGGCTCCTCCTTGGAGACAGATTGGGTCAGGGAACGGCGTTGGCAGACCTGTGTGGCGCTGGAATAAGATTTTATTTATTTCCTTTTGGGGTGACAGAGGGACCAGTAACCTAAATTGTGATTTACTAACCGTATAGGGTCAGGAATACATGTTTGTATTCCTGACCCTATAGTGTTCCCTTTAAGCATTGTATTTTTATCACTGAATATAAAGATTTGTTGGTTAAAGAAAAAACCTGGCTCCTAACTGTCTTTAGCTGGCTCATAGATTGAAAGATTCCAAGCAAATTTATCAAGCACTGCATTAGATTTCACTTTACAGGAAGTGTTTAGAAAGGCTGTGCAAGTTGCACCTAGTGCTCGCTGAGGACTCCAAGCACTCCAACCGACACCATCAGCACTGCAGACCCCACTTCCAGCGATACAGCTGCGCCGGGGTCTCGCCGTCTCCACCCACCCTGGATCCACGACCAGGATCCAGCTCCCAGTGGGTGAACCTCTCCTAAATCCAGAGAGCGTAGCAGGAACAAATCAATCTATTGCAAGAGCTTACTCTGGGGAGTAAGCGATTATAGCAATCCCCAGAGTGTAGGTATCCCTTCCCCCAAACATGAGCTAAGGCTTCAAGAAAGGTACAAGATGATCTGGTTTTAATGACCTCATACTGGCTTTTATGCAAGTCCCCATGCAAGGGGACATCCCACAGGATGGGACACAGTATAACCAATCACAGACAATACAAATAAAAAACACTCCCACAGTGACCTCACAATCCCTCCTCTCTTTCCTGGAGATAATTGGGAAGTAATCAAATTATCTCCCAGGACAGAGGCAAGACTCCATTAACCACATGGTTACAAATGGACATAAAACATATACATGCAACATATCCCCAGATAGCTTAGATCTGAGTGCACATTATTATTGAATGGCGCTCAGGTCACATACATAAAATTCAATTGCCATGGAGCCAAAGTCTTTTCATAGTCTTTTGTTCCACGAATTAGCTCCATGGCATAGCTATCTGGGGTAGTGCACTACTCACATACTGGAAGTCCCGAACAACCCGGCAGAAATACCCAAATAAACCTTATTGCAGCGTAAAATACAGCTATCAGCACAGGGGCCAAAGTCGGAAGGCAGGAGGCTAGCCAGTAGTCCCCTAAAGGCACAAGTGGCGAAGGGCACTTCGTCACACATTTAATTATGCATTTTTATTTTTTATTTTTTTATTTTTGGGGTTACATCTGCAAAGGCAGCAGACAAAATCTGCAGTTTTAATCCCTCTCCTTCTAACACAGCCTCAAATTTATGTGACTGTTAAATCAGACTTTCCAATGCAGCTCAATTAAGTCTTTGCAAGGCAGGTACTTTGGGCAATTGCCTCTTCAGTTCAGTGCAACAAAGCTAACCAAACCAGGAAGTAACAGGACCTGTTGTCTGCTTGAAAAGCCACGGGTGTAACAAGTATCCTCAATAAACATGCAACATTTTGTTCCAAAATGAGGGGGGAAAAGGACTCACTATTCACACACAAAGCATTTCAGGAAGCTAAAGTGATTTTTGTGGTCTGGAGTGTCCCTTTAAAACAGTGGTTACCAACCGTTTTTTCCAGCCTATTCCCATAAATTGTACCCCTCATATTAGCTAAATGTTTAATATAGATGCTGTTATTTCAGATTTGTGTGGTTTATTTTTTTTATTTTTTTCTGCCCCTGGCTCCACCCTGCTTGTGTCAGTGTGTATCTGCACAATGAAAAACACGGACACACGTACAGACACACAGATCCAAACACACATACAAACAATGCCACACCTAGAGATGCAAACATTAAAGCGGCACTGTCATGCCGAACTTACCTTTCCTCAATCTCTTCCTCTTCTCCCCCTCTCTCGGGATCTGTTATTCTTTTCTTCCTATCTTCTTTAGTTTTCTTTAAAATCATAAGACAAAGTAGGGACTCTTTGCCTTATGGAGGATTCCTCCGCTTGACCAGCTCTGACCAGCGGAGGAGCAAAGTGTGCTTCATTTCCGCTGGTCAGAGCAATTTTCCCATGATTCTCACCTTCCCTCTGTGTTCCCACGATGCTTCCTGTCACTTTACACAAAACTGCCGAATTGCGTTCTAACTGAATGAGAACAGTATGTTCGTTTCTTTTAGAACGCAATTCGGCACTTTATTCGGATCGGAATTTCATTCTAATGAATGAAACTCCGATCCTATTCTTGCTGTGGCTGCATCTTGCAGCCGCTTAGTAGATAACTCCCTAATTCCCACGGTATCAGGGAGTTATCTACTAAAAGGCTGAAAGACCTAAATTGGTCTTTCAGCCAATTTACTAATACTAAGTAAAGATTACTTAGTATTAGTAAATTAAATGCCCCTACTCGCTATACCGCGAGTAGGGGCATGTGTAGTAAGCAGTGAGCAGCTTATAGCTGCTCACTGTAAAAAACAAAACAAAAAAAACTAATAACCCCCCCCCACCCGTGGGGGCCCTAAATAAAGATGGGGGGGACCTACCTGGCCCCTGGCCCCCACCCCTGAGCGGTGGGTGGGGGCCCTAAATAAAGATATGGGGGGGAACTTCTGTCCCCCCCCGGCCCCCACCCCTGCGCGGTGGGTGGGGGCCCTAATAAAACAATAAGGGGGGGGACCTACTGTCCTCCCCCCCTGGCCCCCACCCCTGAGCGGTGGGTGGGGGCCCTAAATGAAACACCCCCCCCCCAATCAAGGTGACTAGGGGTCCCAAGCCCCTAGTCACCAACCCCCCACCCAAAAAAACCTATCCCCTACCTACCCCCCTCACCCTACAAATAGTGAGGGGGGAATAAAATAACTAACCTGTAAAAAAAAATTAAACTTACCATTTGACGTCTTCTTTTTTCTAAAATCTTCTTTCTTCAGCCCCCAAAAAGGCCAAATAAAAATCCATTATACCCGTCGCACTTTTAAAAAAAAAGAACCGGTGGGTTTAAGCCAATGACCCCCATAAGGCTGCTCACTGTTTAGTAGACATGCCCCTACTCGCGGTATAGCGAGTAGGGGCATTTGGGAGATTTTAATCTCCCTTGTGCTATTATGGGGGTCATATTGACCCCCATAGAGTTAGAGGGGGACCTGGGGGGGGCTTATGAAGTGGTGGGGAGCACTGCTCCCTGCCGCTTCTATCTTTACATATTACAAGGAGGGAGCTGCGTGCCGGTAGCTCCCTCCTTGTAATAAACTGAACGAACAAACTAACACTGATACATTGTGTTAGTTTGTTCGGCTGATATTTCTATTCACTCATTCGTCTGTCTGATGAATGAATGAATAGCTGAAATTCTCGTTCGCATGTCCAGGTGTTTCACTGGGCATGTGCGGGAATCTCACAGTCTGCCTAGTGTGGGCTGATGACGTGTCCCACAGGGACTTCACCTACCCATACAAAGATGGCGGCGCCCTGAATCAAGATCGGGGCAGAAAATAAGGATTAAAAAATAGGTAATGTGGGGGGCTTAGGGGCATTTGGGGATGACTAGTGGGTCAATTGGATGTAGTGGAGGCGGGAGGGGGGTTTAAAAAAAAAAAAAAAACGGGATTCGGCATGACAGTGCCGCTTTAACACATGCAGGTGCATCAACTACCACGCATACAGATGTACAGATAGAAACACTGCCACACAAAGATACAATGACACATGCAGATACACACTGATACAGACCTGTACACAAATACTGAAACACAGTTGCACAGACACTGATACACACTGGCACATATACAGATGTACAGGCACACAGATCTAAACAGTGACACTCATACAGATACAGACACCGTAACACAGTGACACACATTCAGATACGCACTATGACACACCGATATACAAACTTCCATAATAACACATGTAGATACAGATACAAATACTGACACACATGCAGTTGCATAGGCACACTATATCTGCATGTGTCAGTATGTGCATCAAACACTGATACACACAATGACATACATGCAGATAGATAAAAATACAGACACTGATACAAATACAGATGTACAGAGACATAGTTGCGCACACACACTGACACAAATGTACAGATACAAATACTGAAACACACACTGCTACACATGTAGATAAACAGATCTAAACCCTTACACCTACAGTTCCACAGACACACTGATACACACACACTCATCCAAAGAATGATACAGTCACGCATACAGGTACACACACTGACACATGTAAGTACAGATGGAAACACGGACACACATACAGTTGCCAATACACACTGATACACATACTGACACAGATACGCCGATACAGTGACACATATACAGATACTCATACTGACACATACAGATGTACAGGCGTGTGCGCGCACACACTTCTATACATGCAGATATGCAAACACTGACACACACACACACAGATATACAGACACACAGATCCAAACCATGACCTACACGCACACTAACAGAATGCCGATACATAGACACAGATACAAATCCTAAAACATAATATACAGACTCACACACACAATGACACATGTAGATTCACAGACCCGCAGGTGCTCAGACACACTAATACACATGCAGATACAGACACATAGATACACATACTGACACAGATGTACAGATACGCATATACAGATGCAGACGCACACACATATTGGGAACTCCTGCTTTAAGACAAAGACCTTAAGGGGGACACTCCGCTGCTCAAATACAAAATAAAAATACCTGCAATACCTCCAAATAAAAACTTGCTTGCATATTTTTTTTCCTTTGCAGTGGCATGTTCTATACACAAAAACATTAATTTAAAGGGACACTATAGTTCCTAGAACAGCTTAAAGTAATTGTTCTGCTGTCTGTAGACCTTCCCAGCAGGCTTTTTAATGTAAACACTGCCATTTCAGAGAAACTCATGTGCACTATGTTCCCCTGTCTGTTAAAGTCAGAGGAGGAGCCCAATCCCGCGCTTATAGGCTTTGGAGCTGGACTCAAGTAAGTGACGTAAAACATTTTTCATTCAACCCTAATCACACCTCCCATGCATGTGACCTACACACTTCCTATAAAGAAAAGTCCAATGTAAAAACTTATATTATTGCATAGTCTTTAGTTTGGAATGTCCTCTCCTACTTTGTAAATAACCTGCTAGATCCTGCAGGAGCCTTAACAGGGCAGGAAACTGCACTGATTGAAAATGTATTTCATCTTTTCATGAAGGCTGTGTGAATCAGTCATAGGTGTAATTATGGTTGCAATTATGGAGACATGATCTATACACCAAAACTGCTTCATTAAGCTAAAGTTGATTTGATGCTTAAAGTATCCCTTTAAGTAGTCCATAATGCTTTCTGTGTATGTTGATTTTTACTTTAGTGATCCAATCAGAACAATGTAATTGATTCTGGAAGAGTTATTATTGTGGGGAAATCTAGAGCATTTAACCCCTTCAGGACGTAGTCAATAGTACACGTTCTGATCAAAACAAAATGTAAACAAAAACTGGAATTTGCGCTATGTCTGTTCAACCGTAATTCACCTCTTTCATATTATATGCACCCATACTACTTATATTTTGTTCAGGAGAAACATGGCTTTCATTTTATATCAAATATTTATATATGAAACAAAACTTATTATGAATAAAAAAAAAAAAAAGGAGACCTTTTTAATTGTTTTTTTTTTTTTATTGTAGTTCCACCTGTACAGCGCTGCGGAATATGTTGGCCTTATTTAATTATAATTCACAGTTTAGTGACTAACGGTGTGATTTTAATCTCTCTGCTAAATTTAATTCCTCTAATATATTTTTTCTGCTTCTTCAAAAGAAGATCAACAGGGAAAAATCTATTTTCTGCTGTTGTGGGGCCCCATTAAACCATTCTTCTCGTTTAACCATTAACACATCCACATGGCATGGTGAAAAAAAAAATTCCTGGCACTTTGTGGGGGCAACATTATTTATCAATGTATTACTTCAGAAGTTATTTAAGTCAAATTCGGATATCATTTTTTCACATTATCTAAAATTTTAAATTTATTAGATGTCAGTATATGTGAGGAAAATGAATATATCTGAGACTCTTTTTATCTATATTTGCTGCTGCAAATGCAGCTTTTTTTGTAAATACAGTAAACACACAAGTGCAAAACAATTTGCTGCACTTTGACCAACAATATGGTCAATATTATTACTATAAGGCAGTATCATTTACTCCTACACACATATTCTGAGAATTAAAAGAATTAAAATGGTGAGTTTTAAATGTCAAAAGTTGGTTATCAGTGCAATGGCGCTACTTTAAAAACAGCATTGAGTGATATTTCTAAAATAATATTTCTAGGCATTTAGAAGACGATACAGTCTATTTAGATAGAAGGGATTCAGGAATATGGGGTGTTGGGTAAGCGGTATGAAACATGGCTGAGAGTCCTACGGGTTAGGACAGTCTTAAATTAGAGGGACAAAGGTTTAAAAATAATATCAGGAAGTATTACTTTACTGAGAGGGTAGTGGATGCATGGAATAGCCTTCCAGCTGAAGTGGTAGAGGTTAACACAGTAAAGGAGTTTAAGCATGCGTGGGATAGGCATAAGGCTATCCTAACTATAAGATAAGGCTAGGGACTAATGAAAGTATTTAGAAAATTGGGCAGACTAGATGGGCCGAATGGTTCTTAACTGCCGTCACATTCTATGTTTCTATAATTTATTATGAATAAAATAAGGAGAAATTTGTAAAAAAAAAAAATTTTTTTTTTTTTAAATTGTAGTTCCACCTCACATTTTAGCTGTAAATGTCATAATACTGTTAGCTTTTACTCCAAAAAAAGCACATATTTGGACTCAGCAAAGTTTCACAAGTACAACAGTACCACCCACTAAGTTTTTACGGTGTTTTGGAAAGTTAAAGGATCAAATATAGCACATTCCATTTTTCAGTTTTTTCACATTGAAATTTGCCAGATTAGTAATGTTACCTTTGAGACCGTGTGGTAGCCCAGGAATGAGATTTACCCCCCTGATGGCATACCATTTGCAAAAGTAACCAACAGATGTATCACCAAAAGGTGAAAAACACAAATAGTCAAATATTTTACAATGAGTGGTACTTAACTTTAGATCACGAATAACAGCCTCCCTAGGTCATTACCCAGAAGCGACCTATATCATATATAGAGAACCACAACAAACAATTCGGGATATGGCTGTGTAAATCTACAGAAAAGACATAAAATAAAACAGTGTGGTATTGTAACAACACAATTTCGTTATGCGCAGCAATATTTGCACTCACTAGATGTAGATAAGTGTAAGCGTTCTCAAGGTGCCTTCCCCGATGTAATGGGGGGCCAACAGATCTCTCTGATCACCTCCAGATAATTTTTCCACCACAGGACTTCCACAGGTCAGCATAAAAAAATTTAGAGACTTATTCAATAAAAAAGTAAGCAATCAGCATAGGATATGAAGAGCAGGAAAGAAAAAGTCCTACGCGTTTCGTTCTAAATGGACTTCCTCAGGGACCGCAATAAAAACAATTGAAATGTATCAATACATGTTACAAACAAACATATGGTAAAAACCCTTCCCTGTGTCCTTAAATAGGGCTAATCTCTAAGTCCATTGGTGGATTCAGTGGGTGTGTAGATCCTCTTCTATTTGGATTGGAGAAGAAATCTTCCTTCATCAGCTGTTTCTAGCTTCTCCATAAAATTGGAGCCCTTTTTCTGCAGTTGTTCTGGTGGTGATGTGCCTTGTTTGCGGTGGTGGTCAGTGTAAGGTGTAGGCTAGCCTCTAGTGGGCGTGTTAACCTTCGGTGTATAGCACCCTGGGGGGGGGGGGGAACGTTGTGAAACTGGGAGATGTAGCATAAACCTGAGTCATTCAAAAACTCCAACGTATTAACTAAACAGGTATGTAAATATTGTGCCTGTGCGCTGTTTGTCATGTGGCATCTATCGGGGTGCCTATCCCTCGGGGTCCGAAGGGGACAGTCCTTGTCGGGTCCCAGGTAAGAGCGGTGGTGGGTGCGTCACGTGTGCCAGGTACCGGTGGGAGCCCCAATGATTGAAGGAATGGGTCCGCCTCCTGTATAAGGGTGAGTTTAAGAGTGGTACCATTGCGGTCCACCGACAGGGTTTTAGGTAATGTCCAGCGGTAGATCACGTTGGCGTCATGTAGGCGGTGGGACCTCCTCCACTGAAGGGTGGATCTGGTCAGGTCCTGGTAGAAGGTGAGACTGGCATTTTCAAAGTCCAGTGGTGTTTTGCCTCTTGTAGCGGCAAAAATGTTGTTTCTATCCGCTAAGGTTTGGCACCTCAGGATCACATCGCTGTTTGTTAGGGGAGTTACCTGTCTCGGTTTGCTGGTGCGAAAGGTACCTTTGTTTTATGCAAAGGTCAGCTTCTTTGCCTGCGAGTGTGGTAATAAGGTTGCAAAGAGGTGTCTGAGGTAGTGTGGTAGTTCAGAGTGACTTACATCGTCAGGTAGGCCCCTTATTTTTACGTTGTTTCTGCAGCATCCAGTTTGTTGAGCAGGGCAGAGTGGGAGGTTTGAAGTTGCATTACTGTTTCTTTAAGGCCTCTCACCTCGTGCTACACGTCCAAAATGTCCTCCTCCTTGGTTTGCATGCGGTCTGTCACCGCCTGGACCTCAGTGCGCATTAAGGTCACGTCAGCCGCAGACATCTGTTTCAGCTCTGCCAGGAGGTTTCTAATGTCCAGTTTGGTGGCTGGGGTAAGTGCATCGGGATACGGATGCACGTCTATGTGTGACTGTGGGTCTGTCATTACCCCCGATGGTTGCTCCAATCCTGCAGAGCTGATGTCCTGTTCAGGCATGGCGGCTATCTTTGGTGCCGCGGGGCGCTGCAGCATTGTGCTGATGTCCTGGGTGTTTGTACCTCCGCCTGTGGCTGCTCGTTGGGATCTCCGTCCCAACGGTTGTCCTGCTCTCCGTAGGTGGTGTGAGGACCGGGATCACCGCGTTGCGTAGCGCAGCTTTGAGGGCCTCGTATGCGGGGTAGGCCCTGACCTTGCAGTGTATTTTCTTACCGGTCTGTGGGAATCGGAAGGGCATCGGTCGGTCAGTACTGTTTCCCCCTTGCTCTGCTGTATGATTTTTCTGGCTGGATCGGCTTGTTCGGCTCGGTTAGCCGTTGATTTTTCTCCGGTTGGGCCCCCCATTCTAAGTGTATTTTAATACTAATATATGTACTTATATTAATATTAAAATAAATTACGTATGACGTTACATTATATATATATATATATATATATATATATATATATATATATATATATATATATATATATATATATATATATATATATAAAAATAATGTGTGTGTATGTATATATGTGTATGTATGTAACGTCATACGTAATGTATTTTAATATTAATATAAGTACATATATAAAAATATTAATATAAGTACATATATTAGTACACTTAGATATTGTGTGACAGAATACTGTAATATATCACATTATAGTAGGAACCAGGATAAACTCCAGGGAGCCTGAATGTTGGCCACTAGCACTTTCAGCTTGACAATATGGGGTTAAGCTAGTATTAAGATATAGATTGTGTTATATGATGCACTTTAGGGTCCTGATTGGACCTGTGACAATTATTATTTTTAGTATTATGTCTTATTTTATGATTAATTTAAGTGTTAATTATGGACATGTACGTTGTAGAAGGGAGGAGAGTATGATGACATTCCCCAGAAAATGTTTTCTGATAAATATGTATACTTGTGAGGAATGCTGGTAATCCTGCTTCCCAATCGCAGGTCAGACACTCAGACTGGGGGAACAAGCTCTCTGCGCATGCGCCAGCATCTCATTGACTACCGAGAATGCTGGCGTCCAGGAAGTACACTGAAAGATGAGTGATAGACGCTATCAGCGTCACGATCTCCATGGCAACGACGTCACGTGTTGATGACGTCAGCGCAATCAATGAGACGCTGAATCCCGGTGGTGCCTGTCCTGACACCCGAGAGGAGAGGAGGCCAGCCTCTTACACACCTGAATTGTAAGTTCTTTTTTTGATGTTCTTATTTAAACTAAGTTTGTTTCGTTTGTTTTATGTTTGCTGTCCTGATGAAAGCTCCCAAGTGGAGCTGAAACGTCGACCTGTAAAGTGAAGAATGATCTCTTTTTTACAAAACCTGGGAGTGCTGATTATTTCAGAGATATATATATATATATATATATATATATATATATGTGTATTTACATTTTTTTTTTTTTACTACTTCCCACCAGCAGGGGAGCAGGGGGACTGTCTGACATTTCAGACAGTCCCCCTGCTGGCAGATCCACATCCAGCTATAGGGGGCCATGTGATCGCTCTTTGAGAGCGATCACATGGCCCCCGGGGGCCTTATTTGCCGTGGGAGGGCCGCCTGCCTGTCAGGCAGTCCTCCAGAAGAGGATCGCGGCGGAGGTATGTAAATTGGAGCTGCTGGGGCTGCAAGCCGTTTCGGCTTTCAGTGCTGCTGCAACGGCTTTAAAGCCGTAACAGCGTTAAGGGGTTAACATATTTGCCAGGCCCTGGACAAATGGAATCTTTGTTCTGTAGACCTAGTAATATAATCCATTTAAAGAAAAACATCCAGCCATAACATCATAAGGATATTATGCAATTCAACTCTTTACTAGGGGAAGTCACACTTTGTTTATAATTGTAAAGAAATAAAATATACATTTTTCTTCGTTCTGGACTTACTTATGATTTTGCCTGAGTTGAATTTACAAATTCAGCAGCTATGGGGACAATCTCTATATGTATGCCCCACCACTTAAAATCAATGCAGTGGACTTTTTGTTAATGCTTTGAAAGAAATTAAATTTTAAAATTTGTATTTTGTTTTTGCAAAACAAGAAGTTTCAAATGTAGAAAAACACAGCATTGAATATGTGCACTCAAGATGACTTGGAATGTGGAGTATTTTTTTAAATTATGTTTGTGTAGTCTGAAAAATAAAATTAATAGGGTTATTCACTAAAGTGACAATTCAAAGTGAATTTCAAATTTTATAACATGACAGGAGGCTTCATATTTGCTTCAGTCTCTCTTTACTAGAACGCCACAGCAGCACATTAACACAGAGAAAAGCAACCAATCAGAAAAAAAGTAAGGAAACCATAAAAGGCCTCTCCCAACCAACTACTTCCTCTTTCTTTGCTGCTCCACATCAAGCACAGGTCAGAGTACCACTGCCTCCTGTTTCATATGGGTGACTGTGGATCTTTTTATTATTTATTCTGTCTTGCTTTATTGACCATATCTGTATTTGTATGTTTTTGTTTTTGTGGGGTTTTGCATTGTTTCCCTGCTTTGGAGTGTACTGCTGTGGGTTTTTCTGACCGTTGGGGACTGGAGTAGCTCTATCCTGCCTACCCTCTCTCTCTATTCCTCTTCCTTTACTCTCCCCCTCCCCCCCCCCCGTCCCGCTTGTTTGCCTTTCCCGGTTGCCGGGGAGCGGTTCTCTCCTGTTGCCGACCGCCAGGACTGCGGAGCATGACTACAGTGGTCCCATGTGTTGGCCCCTGTCCGCCGAGCGGGGGCTGTCTCCATCCCTCTCATAGCCCGCGCTTCCGTCCGCGGTGTCAACTTAACCGTGGCTTGGGGGTGGCTGGCCATGTAGGAGCAGTATCTCCCGGCCTCCTGTCACTCACCCTCCCGCGGCCTCGTGGGGCGAGCTGGGAGGGTTTCTACTCATGTCGATATAATTTGGGATTATGTGTTTCTAAGAATTTAAAGCTGTATACACTTTTTTTTTTTTTCTTGCTTGTTTAATGGAGTTAGTGCCTCCTTATTTGTGGGGTTATTACTGACTGGTGGGGTTAGGTCCTGTGACGGACCCGCTGGCACTCTGACAGAGTACGTCCGACAATCGATGCTCCTAATGCTTGCCGAGGACTCCAAGCACTCCAACAGACACCATCAGCACTGCAGACTTATCCCTTCACCAAGCATGAGCCAAGGCTTCAAGAAAGGGTCAATCAGGTCTGTTTTAATGAGCACACAAAAGCAACAGCACTCATGCAGCAAAACTCCTCCTCCTCAGAAGAAAACAAACTGACAGTTAAGTTCAGTCAGTGTTTGAATATATGACAGTTATTGGAAGTTGCTGAACTGTGCCAGTACCATTTAAAGGGCCAGAACAGTCTTTTAAAACACCAATAAGTCCAAATGGTGTTTCTAATTGGCAAAATCTCCCAAAGACCATAGTCATACGGCAAGAGGCTGGTAATAAGTCCTCTCCAGGCACAAGTGGCGAAGGGCACTTCGTCACTTCCCTCTGGGGGGGAGACTAACCAGTTACCTGACCTTCTGTCGGTCAGTACCTGAGTTAGTCGAGTAGCCCACCCACAATACACCATTACCGCTCCTGTCCTGGTGTCCGACTCTGGCCTGTATGTCCCAGGTTACTGAGGGGAGCTAGTGGGCAGAGGCCAGCGGCGCTCTGCCCTGATGCCAGCGCTTCTGCTGGAAGGGGGTCAGTGGAGGCCAACATCTCCACTAAACCCAGTACCGGGTTAGGGGCTGGCTGTGGAGGGGAGGGGTCGAGTACCTCCCCCTCCTGGTACTCCTGCTACTGCTGGGGAGCGAGACTGGTTGTCTCCTCTCCCTGGGGCTCCAACTGCAGTTGGGGATCTGGGCCAGCTGCCCAGCATCCCTGTAGGCCTGGTGGAGAGACCTCGATCCCATCTCCACCTGCCGTTTGGGGGTCCTCCAAGGACCAATCCATGAGGTCCCCTACCTCGGCTACCTCTGGTTGCTGTTGGGGAGGGAGACCGGTTGTCTCTTCTCCCACTCGCACATTCAGCTGCTAGGGAAGGGAGGCCAACTGTCTCCTCTCCCGATAAGACATACTGCTGCTGGGGAGGAAGGACGACACCTTCTGCTCCCTGGGAGGCACACTGCTGCTGGGGAAGGAGACCAATTGTCTCCACTCCCTGTAGGATACACTGCCGCCGGGGGACCAGTTGTCTCCTCTCCCTGTGAGATATACTGCCGCTGGGGTGTAGGACCGCCTGTCCTTACTCCCGGTACTTCCAGCTGCAGCTGGGGATCTGGGCCGACTGCCCAACATCCCTGAAGGGCCGGTGGAGAGACCTCGGTCCCATCTCCACCTGCCAGTTGGGGTTCCTCCCAGGACCAGTCTATGAGATTCCCAAAGGACCACCTGCCTCCTCTATCTGTAGCTCAGGTTGCAACTGGGGATCTGGGCCGGCTGCCCAGCATCCCTGTAGGGCCGGTAGAGAGACCTCGGTCCAATCTCCACCTGCCTGTTGGGGGTCCACCCAGGACTGGTACCTCTGGTTGTTGCTGGGGAAGGAGACCGTTGTCTCTTGTCTCTGCACGGTGCACTGCCGCTGGGAAGGGAGACCGGTTGTCCCCAGCCCCAGTCTCCACAATCTGAACTCACATTCCCGTGCTGCTTGGTTCTCCTCATCCAGCTCTTGCATAATATGGACGATCACCTCTTCTGAAGGGTCTGGGCCATACTCGACTAGCCGCCTCTTTACCTCCGAGATGTAAGCGTCGCCCTCATAGCAATAGGTCATGTTTGCTTGGCCCCACTGTGGGCCACTAGCGCTCCGATCCGTGCCTTGGTTTCCGCTGTAGACAGGGGTGCTGCACGAGTGCTAGTGTCGCCCTCACTTGTAGCTCCGTAACGTTACCAGTGTCTCCGAGTTGCTTCTCCTCACGCTAGGACGCCATCCCACCGCTTGTAACCAAATGTGACTGACCCGCTGGCACTCCGACCGAGTACCTCCGCCAATTGATGCTCCTAGTGCTTGCTGAGGACTCCAAGCACTCCAACCGACACCATCAGCAGTGCAGACTTATCCCTTCCCCAAGCATGAGACAAGGCTTCAAGAAAGGGTGAAACAGGTCTGTTTAATGAGCACACAAAAGCAACAGCACTCATGCAGCAAAACAACTCCTCCTCAGAGGAAAACAAACTGACAGTTAAGTTCAGTCAGTGTTTGAATATATGACAGTTATTGGAAGTTGCAGAACTGTGGCAGTACAATTTAAAGGGTCAGAACAGTCTTTTAAAACACCAATAAGTCCAAATGGTGTTTCTAACTTGCAAAATCTCCCAGGGACCATAGTCATACGGCAAGAGGCTGGTAATTAGTCCTCTCCAGGCACAAGTGGCGAAGGGCACTTTGTCACAGGTCCTCATACCCATTGGTTTCTGCTCAATACTGTATCATTTGGGATTATGTGTGTTTCCAAGAATTTTAAAGCTGTATACACGTTTTGTATTTTTCTTGCTAGTTTAATGGAGTGAGTGCCTTTATTGCACACTCCTTATTCTGGGGTTATTACTACCTGGTGGGGTTAGGTCCTCATACCCCATATTCTTGGGATAGTAAGAAGACTTATAATGGTGGGGGACACATTTAGAGGCCGCACATCCCTCTACAATTTAGGCCTTCCCTGGTCTGCCAGAGTTTTCTACCACTATTTTCTGCAATGTCTGTGGATTCTAGGTCCCTTCAATTTCTGCATGCCTACAGGTCTTCTGCACACTCTGATTGGCCTCCTTTTACTGCGCCACAAGGATTGGCCTGCTTTGTATGTTCCATTATCACTGTACGCCTGGCCTGTCGGCTCAGCGTTCACACTTGGGCCCTGCAGGTGCTACCATACTTGCCTCTGACACTAAATGGGTTGCTACGGCAATGCGTCAAGGCCCGACATTATCGGCCTCACATTCCAGGCGCTGCTGCTTGTCAGGTGCAGGGGAGGAGACCTCAATACCCCCCTCCCCACCCATGGCCGTCCTGGATGAATGGCGGGCGGACCAGTCCCCCTCGGAGGAGGAAATTGAGTGGGATGAGGACTATGGGGATGACCCTAAGTGGCACCGTGAGGCTGAGGACGCCTCCATGCCAGGGACGATGGGTACGGCCGTGGACGAAAACACTTTCCTGGACGCCATCGGCAAACTCCTGTTCGACCCTCGGTCCATTCAACACCCCAGGTCCTCCAACTAGTCCTTTCCAGACCATTTGGCACACTTCGTGCATTACTGGGTCTCCCAGCCTCTGGATTGGGAAGTTTGCAGAAAACTTCGGGCGGAATGCCCCAGGCCTGTACTGCCAGATGAGGTCGACACAACCCAGGATTCAATGCCTTGATTTCCACGTGCATGGACCGTACTGGACGTGATCCCAAGAAAGGGGTCTGGCGCAGAACAAACTGCTAGACATGCTTGGTCCCCTATGCAGGATGCTAAGGCTGGCAGACGAATCCTATTCGGAAGGGGCTACCTTGGACTCGACCACCATGCGGGTGGCTTTGTGCTCTGTTTACCTGCTGGGCAATACGTATGTGGCACTTTCCACGGACTGCAGGAAGGCGGTCCTTTTCCATATGGACAACAAATTGTCGGATTTGGGGTCAAAGGAATTGGGCTCCCTGGCTAAAGGTCTTCTGCTCAGGGAACCTTTCATAAAGGAGCTGCATGAACAAGGCTCAGACCTCCATGAAGAGGGTTTTTCGCTCACAGACTTCACGGGTTTTTGGCAGGGCTGGACAACAACGGGTCATGTCTCCAGGCGCTTTTGACCTTCTGGTTGCCGAGGATCCCGTGGACCATTGTTCTTCCCCTCCTACTCCAAGAGGTCGGACAGAGGTAGAGGAAATCGAGCCAGAGGACGTGCAAGATCATCTTCAGGTGAGAGCAACGCCTTCCGTTTCTCCCTTTCCCCTGTTGCAGGCGGGCAGACTGTTTCACTGCAGGGTCAGGTGGCGGGAGGTGTCCATGGGTTCTACGGACGGTTCGGGTATAGGTCATAGACTTTCCCCCTCCGAATCAGGTTCGGCCTCCAAGTTCCCGTTTCCTCACGGGTGCAACTATTACAGGGAGGCGGGCCCTGTTCGACAAGGGCCCAGTCCATTGGTCTCCGGACACGCAGGGTTTTTTCAGCTTTTTCTGAAAAAGTCCAGAGAGTTCCGCCCGGTGTTTAAATCTGCGGAACCTGAACGAGATTGGATCGGAAGGGCGCTTACCTCTCAGTCCTGGTGGCACAGAGTGCCTAAGATTCCTCCATTTCCTCTGGAAGGGCAGACCTTGCTAGTTCACCTCTTACGTTCGGCCTCAGCTTGACTGTGTGGTGCGTCACCAAGCTATTGAAACCAGTGCTTGCACGACTCCGGTCAGAGGGTGTCGGTTGTATCATCTACCTGGACGATCTGCGGATCTTCTGCGAGGAGCCCTCCAGGCTAAAGTGTCAAACGCGCTCTGTGGTCTCCTTGTTTGAGTCCCTGGGTTTCGTGGTCAACCAGGTGAGGTCGGCTCTCTCTCACTCCCAGGTGGTCGAGTTCTTGGCTTTCGAAATAGACGCAAGGGACTCCATCCAAGATAGTGACCATTTGAAAGGAAATGAGGTGGGTTCTACATCAAGACCGGATCACACTACGGATGTTGGCACGCGTGGTGGGTCTCCTCTCTTCTTCAATCCAGACTATCTGCCCGGGTTTCCTCCTTTACAGGGCCATGCAGCGTATGAAAGCCCATTTTCAATGCAGGAGACCTTCCTACGACTAAGGGATTCCCCTCTTTCTGGACGTGAAGACCGTGTTACAGTGGTGGCTCCTTCACATGTCTGCCTGGAACGGCAAAGCAATTTTGGTCCAATTCCGGATTTCGTGCTAGAGTCAGATGCAAGTCTTTGGGGTTTGGGAGCCACCTGCGAGACTAGCCCCACAGGGGGGTCCATGGTCAGAGATGGAAACGGTGTTCCACATCAACTGCCTGGAACTGATTGCGTGTTCGTTCGCGTTTCAGAGACTGGCGAGCCACCTTTCAGATTGCTATATCCTCATACGGTTGGCCGATGTCTCGGGGGTACTATAAGTCAGCCGCCTGGGAGGAACCCGCTCTCGGATCCTCTCTGAGGTGACAGAGATTTACAGCTTCTGTTTCCAACGCAACATCACCGTTCAGGTGGAGTATCCACCACAGGAGCCGAACATGACGGCGGATTGGTTCTCCAGACATTGGAGGGACGCCAGCGATTGGAGGTTCTTTCTTCCCATCGTTCTTCAAGATCAAAGACCAGAGGGGTCCGTTCACCTCCCGGACGATCTTTTAGGTCCCGGCCTACTTCAGCTGGCTCCCGGAGCCGGTTTGCTCAGCGGTGGACGTTTTTCCTTCAAGTGTGGCCGTCACGGGAGCCTATGCGTTTTCTCCAGTTGCTATGATACCCAGGGTCTTGCTGCAAGTTCAACGTCTTCATGTGTCTTTGGTGTTGCTGACTCCACTATGGCAGAGTCAAGTCTGGTTCCCGGAGCTCCTCTATCTGTCTCATCTGGACCCACATCTGGACCCCCTTCTGAGGATTTTTTCGGACTCCCGGGGCAATCCTCATGCTCCCGTGATGGACGGTCTCCTTCGCCTGATGGCCTGGTGTCTTTGGTGCCTGGTAAGGGATACAGATTCCTTTACGGATCCTGGGTCCAGCGTGCTGATTTTTGTCAGGTCTGTTTGACCTGGGACGCTGGTATCGTTCGGTTTATATAGCTAGATTGGCAATTTTGACGGCTCAATTACCGCTTAGAGGGCTTCCCATCGGTCGGGACCCGCTGGTTTGCAGGCTTCTCCGAGGAATGAGATGGTCGCGATCTGCGATACCGAAGTATTACTCTCTCTGGGACGCACCGTTGTTGTCGTTCCTCCAGGATTGGCCGGATTGTCAAGCCCTTTCCCTTTGTCAACTTTTGGCTTGATTTGCCCTCTGGCTATGCCTTTTTTTTTTTTTTTAGACGTGTTTTAGACATATGGCCTTCAATGTTGACAAACCAGTCTTGTCTCCTACTTGGGCGCGCTGGATTCAATGGTTGTTGGCTTTAGTGGGGGGTGAATTCGATCTTTGGAGCGCATTCGGTTAGAGGCGCCTTTATCGCGGGCGCATCTTTCCAGGACATCATGCGTTCAAGCCTACTGGTTCTGAGAAGATAAATTTTGCAAATTTTATTTTAGACAGGCGCATCATGCTGCTTTTGTTTTGCTGTCTGAGCGTTAAAACAGCAAATATGAAGCCTCCTGTCATGTTATAAAATTGTAGATTATACTAGCTTTAGTGTAACTATAATAAAATTTAAGATTAATGACAGGAGGTGAATATTTCCCTCGCAGTTTTCACCCTTCCCTGGTACCTTGTTTGTTTTATTTGACTACCTCTAGTCGATAGTCTGTTCTCCAGAACTGTGTTTAGGTAGGTCAATTATTTGCCTTCCTGAGGGAAGTCGGCGTGTGATATTAAGGATGTTGTACTGTCTGTAATTGATTATGGGTCTTCATGATTTCACAGTACATTTTATTAACTAATCAATGTTTTCGACTCTGCTTTTCTCGTTCCAGTATAATGGTTCGTCTACAGATCCAAGTTCAAGGCTTTCTTCAGGATAGAGTTCAAGGATTTATCTACTGTTCCACGTTCATTTCGAGTTTGGATGAAGTCATTAGCTGACTTTGTTTGAGTCCTTATGATTCTGCTATTGAGTTATTCATGTACTTTGTTTTGTCACAGCTTGAAAGAGGAAGTAGTTGATTGGGAGGGGCCTTTTTATGGTTTCCTTAATTTTTTCTGATTGGTTGTTTTTCTCTGTGTTAATGTGCTGCTTCTAGTAAAGAGACTTAAGCAAATATTCGCCTCCTGTCATTAATACATTTAGGATTATAGTTACACTAAAGCTAGTATAATCTACAATTCAAGGCCAAAGTAGCTGAACTGAAAGCATTGCACAGAGACAAGAGGGAAAACATGCACACCGCACCTCCATGTCACATTTTCAAGAGAAGGCAATCCTTTGTATTGCAAATGGATTATTTTGAGTTTTGTGGTGTAGCCTGTTTATCACAAGTACTGGCCACATTTAGTGTTAGTATTGCACATTTATTGCAATGCAGCCTCAATATTATTTAAAGTATCACTATAGGGTCAGGAACAAAAACATGTATTCCTGACTAGGGATTCACCGAAATGAAAATTCTGGGCCGAAAACTGAAGCCGAAAATGACCTTTTTTTTTTTTCCCAAATGATTTTAAATTTATTTTTTATTTTTTCTAGAATTTTATTAGTCTTTTTAATGAATTTAATCTAATATGAAAAACTTGCCTTCTCTCCCGCTTAATGTTCGTCTAGTGTTTCTTCCCCCCCTCTTTTTTTAGTGTTCTTTCCTCCTTCCTCCCCAGTCACATAGTGTTCTCTCTCTCCCCCCCGTCTCATAGTGTTCTTTCCCATAGTGTTCTTTCATTGTGATCTGTAATCATCTAAATTCTTAATGCAAGCATGTTTGTTAAAGTATGCACTACAAAAATATCATATATATATAATTTTTTTTTTTTTTTTTGGCAAATTTGACCCATTTTCGGCTGAAATTTTAGCAGCCGAATTTTGGGCCATCCCTATTCCTGTTACTGTAGTGCTAAACCCACCATTTAGGTGGCTTGCCCCCCTATAAAAGTTTAAAACTCACCTTATTTTTTCAGCGGCGCTGGCTCTGCCCCATTTGTGACATCATCGAAATAGCACGGGGCGGGCCAAATGCCATTTTGCCCATTCAGGAATTGAATCAATGCATCTCTATGAGGAAAAGTCAGCGTTTCCACGCAGAGCCGGCCGGGCCGGGTACAGTAAACTGAGTCTCCTGTACCGCGCTGTGCACTGCTCTGCTCGGCCACGCTACATAAAAGGTAGGAGACTTACTGGGGCCTGGGGAGGGGGAAGAGAGAGGGGCACTAATGGCGGTTGGATGGGTGGTAAGGCACACTATGGGGGCGGGGGGGGAGTGGGTGTTCCACCCTATAGCTAATCAATGTCCTCTTATTCTCTGCACCCTTTCTTGACAAGCTGTACACAGAGGAATTGGACCAGGGTTAAAAAATTAAAATAATATTGGAAAAAAAACTGAATATATTTTAAAATGGAGTAGAAGAATTGGAGTTGGCAGAATGAACGAATAAGATGTAGTAACAGGGGAAATGAGGGGCAATAATGAAAGGAGAAAGAGCAAATAAATGGAAAGTTACCATGTAGAATTTAGGAATAAAATAATGGAGGTGGGTAGTTTAAAGAAAGGATACATTAAATGAAAGAGGCTACAGCTACAGTGGGGCAATAAACAGGTGTGTGAAGAAAATAAAAAAACAGACCGGAAATAAAAAGGTATTCAGATAAATGATGAGACAGGGGAGGAGAATGGGTGGTAAGGAACACTGTGGGATGGGGATGGGGGGGAAGAACACTATATGGAGGAGGGGAGTGGGTGGTAAGGAACACTTTATTTAAAAAAAATAAAAAAAATTCTACTCTAAAAATTAGGTGCGTCTTATAGAGCGAAAAATACGGTACATTAGGATCAATGCACGTATTATTTTTGCCTAGTTGCTTGGCTGTAGATAATGCCCTACTTAGTGTGGGAGTGGTGGAAGATGGAGTTGTGAAGGTAACTGTATTGGGTTTTCTGTAGAGTGAGGTGTGGATTGGCCATTGGTGTAGCCCACAGTAGTTTCCAGATTGTCTATAGATTTTTTTTTTTTTTTTAAATATTTTTTTATATATATAATTTTTTAATGTATTTCTTTTTTTTATTTTTTTATTTTTTTTATTTGAATACTAAATTTTTAATGTAATGTGTGAAATTAGTTAAAGGCCATGGAGTTGCGGGTTTTTCCTCACTTTAGGTCCAAATGAGGATCTCATTGAAGTATTGGTTATACTTGTATGGCTTGTTATGCTCTGTTTCTAGGAATCTGTTCTAGTACTGCCATGAACAGATTAGAATATCGGGATCTACTGATATCCATACCGGTCCCCACGGTTTGTAGATAGACCTTGTTGAAACTGAAATAATTGTGTGCAGATGAATAGTGCTAGTTCTGTATTGGTTTTTTTTGGTTATGGGTGTAAGAGAGAAAGTGAAAACAAACAAGCAATGACATGATAATACAGACTTATGTAAGGTTGTGACAGTATAATGTCGGTTTATGGGTTGCAGAAAGCAAATTTGGGTAGTTAGTACAGTCACTATACAAACATTGTGCGACATGTTTGCATTGTCATCAGGATTTTATGTTTTCAAACAGGTGCAACTATATACAATGGCAGTATGTTTGAGGAGTAGGCTTTGTTGGCTGATAGCCGCGATGAGACTCTTATTGAAGGACAAAAGTTTCAAGGTTGTTAAAGACAGTGGTGATATAGTTACTGTACGCATTAATGTCCTCAATCTTTCGATAGGCGTGTGCTAATTTACACCAGTCCCCCTGAGCGGTCTGCTAATCTTAGCTGTACTCTAGCCTTTCTCTCCTCCTACTGGGTTGCAAGTCTAGCGTGCTTGCAGAATGGATAGAAAGGATAGGAAAGTACAGAAGAAGAATATAGTGTGAAAAAGAAATCCTAAGGTAGTAAAAAGGAGTGATCTCTTGGTGGCCAGGGACAGGTGTTTGTCAGTCATCTCCGTAAGCCTTAGTGGTCTGGCCCTGTCTTGGCGTTGGCCAGATACCAGTCCGTTAGTGGTGCCGCTGCCACCCGTCGGGGTTCTGGTATGTCTATGGCAGTGGAGTGAATCCCATCTGTTTCCGCCGGTGAGTACATTGTGGATGCTGCCACGCACCCCGGGCCGAGGTCCTATGTGTCGTTTTGCTCCCACAGATCCCATACCTTGTGGAAAGTGTTCAGCGTGTTCCTCACTTGGGCAGTAAGTTTATCCATTAAGTTACATAGTTACATAGCTGAAAAGAGACTTGCGTCCATCAAGTTCAGCCTACCTCACATTTGTTTTTTGCTGTTGATCCAAAAGAAGGCAAAAGTTTGAAGCACAATTTTGCAACAAGCTAGGAAAAAAATTCCTTCTTGACCCCAGAATGGCAGTCAGATTTATCCTTGGATTAAGCAGTTATTACCCTAAATTGAAAGATTATATCCTCGAATATTCTGTTCTTGCAAGTATGCATCTAGTAGCCGTTTGAACATCTGTATGGACTCTGATAAAACTGTATGGACCGTAAAAAAACCTTTCCTTTGCCTTAGACGAAATCTTCTTTCTTCCAGTCTAAACGCATGGCCTTGTGTCCTATGTAAAGTCCGGTTTGTGAATAGATTTCCACACAATGGTTTGTATTGGCCCCGAATATATTTGTATAATGTAATCATATCCCCTCTCAGGCAACGTTTTTCTAAACTAAATAGGTTTAAATTTGTTAACCTTTCTTCGTAGCCCACAACTTTGCCCTAACCAGGGATATCTGTGGGGGATCCGGGCAGGACCATTTCTGTGCTATAGCTCTATGGGCTGCCAGATAAGAGTTTTTGTTCATGCTTGGAGAGACCCTCTGTGGGTCTTGATAGTAGGCATGTCCACGGGTCCAGGGCCATATGTTTTTGTAAAATTTGTATTATTGTATTGTATTAAGTTGGTTGTACAGTAGTGTAATAAGTTTGGATTGTGTGGTTTCAGTATAGCACAGTTTTTCAAAGAAAGTCAGTGGTGTCAGGGCTGCCTTCTTTACTTCGGGTCTCTGTGCAAAATCTCGGATTTGTAGGTACTTGAAGTAGTCTCGTGTTCTGAGGACGGCTTTAGTACTCAGGTGTGTATATGTGACACTGCCTTGGTTAACAAAAAGGTGGATGTATCTTTGTGGCCCTGTGGCCTCTATCCCTCCGTAGTCCCGGGCTCTCATTCCCGGTGGGAACGCCCTATTCCTGAAAACTGGCGTCATGGGGGAGCTTAGGGAGTATTTCGTTTTAGTCTGGTCCCGTATCTGTATGGAGTGAAGTATGGCCGGGTTTGTAGTTCTTAGAATGGCTCTCTGAGTTCTAGGTACCCATATGAAGAACTACGGGAGGTCCATTCCCGTCATCAGCGACTCCACGTCGACCCAGCGTCTCTTATCTGGGGGTGTGTGCCATTGTATAACTTGGGTTAATTGTGCTGCCAAGTAATAGTTATATACATTAGGTAGCCCCAGTCCCCCTCTAGGTTTTGGTCGGTACATGAGAGTACGTGCTAGTCTCGGGCGCTTATTATGTCAAATGAAGGAGTCTATCGCCCGCTGTATGCTCGTCAGGTCCCCTCGCGTTACTCTTACCGGGAGTGCCTGAAAGAGGAAAAGAAGCCTCGGTAGCACATTCATTTTAACAGAGTGTATGCGCCCCAGCCAGGATATAGGCCTGTCTGTCCACTGGTCCAGTTCCGTGGTGAGGGTCTGAAGTAGAGGTTTGTAGTTGCGGGCGTAAAGAGTTGATGGGTTTGCTGTTAATCGTATCCCCAGGTACATAAATTCTTCTGTGTGTATCTTTAAGCGATATTGACTGCGTATTCGCGCTATGTCTGGGGTTGCTAAATGAAAGGGCATTGCTACTGATTTGGTGTAGTTTATCTTATAACCTGCTAAATTCCCAAACTGTTCTATAGTAGTGTTAAGTGGTGAAGTGAGTTCATTGGGTCACCGAGTGTCAACATGACGTTGTCTGCATAAGCAGATACTGTGAATGGTGTGCCTCTGACCTCAATTCCCTTAATGTGTACGTGCTGCCGTATGGCTTGTAAAAGCGGCTCTAAGGTTAGAGCGAACAGTAAGGGGGGCAAGGGACATCCTTGTCTGGTGCCGTTACCAAGAGTGAATGGCGTTCTATGCGCTCGTTATGAGTATTTGTGCCCATATGTCAGTGTATAGTGCCTGTATTGCCGTTACAAATGGTTCCGGGAATCCCTGAAAGTGGAGCAGCCTGAATAGGTAAGGCCACAGCACTCTGTCAAACGCCTTCTCTGCGTCTAGGGAGAGTGCGAGAGAAGGCGTCTTGGACTCCACCATGTACCACAACATGTCAACTCCCCGTCTAGTATTCTCGTAAAGTTGTCGCCCGGGTATGAAACCTTCCTGATCAGGGTGGATCAGGCGCAGGAGGAGGGGCGTGAGTCTGGATGCTAAGATTTTAGCAAATATTTTGAGATCGGTATTAATGAGTGATATCTGTCTGTAACTAGGAGCCAGTGTGTCATCTTTATCCGGTTTTGGCAGGAGTACTACGTTTGCTGTCGCCATGTCAATGTCAGGCACCCCACCCTGCATAAAGTGGTTACTAAGGGTCGTAAGGTGAGGAGCCAGGACATCTCTAAATTGTTTGTAATAGCTTATGTTGTATCCGTCTGGTCCTGGTGCCTTATTACCTTTAAGGGACATTATAGCTGTTTCTACCTCAGTCTGGGTGATTGGGTCTCGCAGAGATTCTGCTTCATCTCTGCTCACTTTGTGATTGGTCAGTTCCAATAGGAACTGTTGTATGTCATCCATATAGGTTGCGTTGCTGGCGAGGGGAGTGATTGTAAAGGTCTGTGAAGTATGTGGTGAAGACTTCGTTAATAGTATCAGGTGTCGTGGCAGTTGTGTTTGTTGCTGTGCGTATTTTCGTTATGGTTTTGCCTTGTGATCTCGGTCGTAGCACTCTGGCCAAGAGTGTCTGTTTTATTCGCTTTCTCATAAAATAGTCTTTTTGACCAGAGTAGGGAGCGTGACACTGCCTCCAGGGATATGTCCCTTATGGAGTGTCTGAGGGTGTTAAGTTCCCTGAGTTTGGAGTCAGTCTGACTGGTTTTGTGTTGTTGCTCCGTCTTTCGTAGGGCTGACTGTAGTTCGAGTAGTAGTTTTGTTTTAGCTCGCTTTTTATGCGTGGCTACTTTTATAAAATGTCTGCGCAGGACAGCTTTATGTGCTGCCCAGACTGTGGTGGGGTTAGCTTCAGGAGTTGTGTTGAGCTCAAAGTATTGTAATAGCTCGTCGGGTTGTTTACTGTATGATGTTGTTGCTTAGGAGACTGGTGTTTAGTTTCCATGTCCAGTTGGATTGGTAGCGTAGTTTGCCTAGGGTGACCGTTATGTCTGCGTGATCCGACCATGTGATGCTGTTAATGTCTGTGTGCAGGGCCTTGTCCAACCCCGTCCCATTAAGGAAAAATGTTATCTATTCTGGAGTATGTGTTATGTGATGCTGAATAGAATGTGTAGTCCGGGTGCTGTAGCTGCCATGCATCTAATAGGCCAGTGTGTGTCAGGAATGTGTGTAATAATTTACCTTGTCCTCCCCTTCCCTGTGATCTCACGGTGACTGGTTTGGAGCTCCTGTCGGATGCCGGACATGGTACTGCGTTGAAGTCGCCACCGACCTTAAGGACCCCGCCCCTAGCTCCGGCCACCAACACCTCCAAGCTAGTCCAGAACTGTGGGTTCGTTGGGAGCATAGACATTAATGACATGTAATTTTGTGGTATATAGAGTGCCCCCTATGTATATCAATCTTCCCTCCGGGTCAGCCTGAATGGCAGTTATTTGTAGTGGGCAATTTTTATGTATGAGGATTGCCACCCTTGATCGTTTGCATAGTGTACGTGCCTCATGTACTGTCGTGTAGGTTCTGTCAGTTAGTCTGGTGGGTGCCGACCCGGGGAGGTGCGTCTCCTGTATCAGTGTAATATCTATTTTTTTGGCCTTTATTTCCCTCACTAGTAATCTACATTTGTTTGGGGAGTTTAGTCCCTTGACGTTAAGTGACAGTACCTTAAGAGCCATGAGGAGGTGTAGGCAGTGTCGCTGCTGTGACAAGGTCTCCGGATGCACGGACTACCTTATTGATACAGCGGTTCGCGCCGTGTGTGGGGTCCACCCCTGGCGACGCGTGTGGCATCCAGGCAGAGAACTGGGATTGGAGATCAGTGCTTGTCGTAGTGGAGAGTAAGAAAAAGAAAAAAAAGTTGAGTAACAAGATATGTTAACCATAAACATAAAAAGTAAACATAAAGTGACAATCTGGTCTTAACCTGTGCCAGATTAAAGTGGGGGTTGTTCACCCCTTCCGAGTGGCAGGAAAATGTTCACCTCTCGGGGTTGGTGACTTCCCTGCGCATTTCCACTATGGTGTTATATGCAACCAGCGTCCATATATAACATTAATTCTGGGCTTTCACATTTGGGTAGTTCTGTCCCTGCATCAATCCCTTTCTGGTTCATTCTACATCTTTACCCTTTGTGTATTCCCCTATTGCCCTCACCAGGCTTTGCAGTGTTATACTCCGTATTTCGTTGTGTCCCTATGTTCTGTACTATTTATTATTCCCACAAGTGTGCTCTGCGTGATGGGAGGGGTCGGCAGGCCACAGCTCCCCCTGGATAATCCCCCGCCCTCTCAATGCCTCAGGTGCTTAGGTGGAGCTAAGGTGAGTTGTGGGCGGCCTCACCAGGGTCATGTTCACCAGGGGGCTTTTGGCCGACCCGTTGGGTCATAGCTGTGTGTTCTACATTCTGCTGAAGTTTACTTTATCTGTCCTGTCTTTGTAATGTTAGAGATTTATTTTCATTTCGTTATTCATTTAGTTAATGGTTTTGTTGTGTGTTTTTTTTTGGGAGGTGTGTTTTGTGTCTCCTGAACCCGCTAGTTGCTAGCTGTATGTGTGCCTTCTGGCCCTCTCGGGAGCATTGTAAGGTTGGGACATTCCTCTTGTCTTGTCTTTGTTAACCAGGTGCAGTTGGAGAGCTTGTCAACCCAGTTGGAGAGCTTGTCAACCTTTTTCAAAGCGTAGCTGCCCCCTTAAGCCTTGCATTATATACTTGTACCTGCCCTCTCTGGAACATTGCAAGTTAGCTGTATGCTCACCATTTTGTCTCAGGTAATATTGTAGCGTGATGTGTCGCCATGATTGCTGAAGTAGGCCTCCATGATTGGTATGAGGGGGCCTTCGTTTGGTGTTTCTGGTAAACCTCTAATGCGTAGTTTGTTTCGTCTGGTGTGATTGGAGAGGTCTTCCACCTGCATTTCCAGATTAATAAGATGTTCGTCTAAGGAGGTGGAGTGCTGCACGAGTGAGTTGTGGGCCTGTACCATCACCTCTACCCGCTGTTCCAGGTCTGAAGTGCGTGCGCTGAGGGCCTGTATTTCGGCCTTGATGTCTTGTGAGCTGCGGGTAATTTCGCCTGCTAGGTATGACTGGACTTCAGCTAGCTTTTGCAGGATCTGTGTGGTATTGCCGCTGAGCATGTCTCAAACAAGTCTCGTTCCCCCGTGTTTGAGGCTGGAGACTGTGAGCCTCGTGCGCCTGTCCGTCGGCCATCTTGTGCGACTTCCGAGGATCGTGAGGCCACACGTCGGCCACTGTGGGAGATGAATCCTGTGGCTCTCCTCTCTTTTTTCGGTGTGGGGTGGCTCCAGGTCCCTTGTTGGACAATTTAGAGGTAAGCAGTGGTTGCGATGCTGTTTACAGGTGCGGGATAGTGAGTGGATGAGCGGGAGCTCGCTCGTTATTCCGCCATCTTAGTCGGCTGCCAAGCCACCCTCCCTACAAGGATGGTTTTAACAAGTAGGTTGGTGATTTTGTTGAGTTTAAGAAAGTCTTTGGTGCTCCTAGGACATTTTCAACCAGTCCTGAGATCTGTTCTGTAAGTGTTCCCATAATTAATGGTCTATCAGGATACACTAATATTTGTGTTCAGCAAAGTCTCCCGAGTATAACCGTACCCCCCATGTACATGCTTTTTTTTTACAGTTACATGGTCAAATATAAGGCTTGTGTTTTTTTTTTGTTTTTTTTTAATCTGCCAGATTGGTTATGTTGCCTTTGAGAGCGTATGGTAGCCCAGGAATAAGAATTACCTCAATGATGGCATACCGTTTGAAAAGGTATTCAATATGGGGTATGTCCAGTCTTTTTTAGTAGCCACTTAGTCACAAACACTGGCCAAAGTTAGCGTTCATAATAGTTTTTTGCATTTTTAACACACAAATATAAATGCTAATTTTAGCCAGTGTTTGTGACTAAGTGGCTACTAACAAAGACTGGACATACCCCATATTAAATACCCTGTGTTGTCTACTTAAAAAAAAAAAAAAAATATATATGGTTTGATGGGGGTAAATTACATTGGCCGGCTTAAAAAGTTCCTTAATAGGACATGGGTGCATGATGGCCAGCTGTGAAAATTCCAAGTTGGAAAACTGGAATGCGCTCCTCCAAATAAGCTCTTTTAGCCCCCAGAGAACCCGACACACACAAGAGTGGTATCACTGTACTCAGGAGTTGTTGATAAACACATATTGGGGTGTTCTTTGGCATGAACCCTTAAAGTTCTCAGTACATGTATTCTTAAATTGCTATGTGTGTCAACAAAAAAATCACTTTTTTTTTTAAATTTGGCACCGGTTAGTGGTAAAATGGTTGCATGAAAAGAGTCAAAATACCCCAAGTTTAATACATTAGGTTGTCCATATAAAAAAAGTGTGTATATGTATGTGTATGTGTGTGTGTGTATATATATGTATGTATATAGGGTGTGTGTGTGTGTGAAGTGTTACTTGGGGATTCCTGACATATATCAGTGTTACAATGTAAAGTTCGTTAATTTTGGAAAACAGTGGTTTGGAAATGGCAAAGTGCTACTTGTACTTATAGCCCTATAACTTTCCAAAAAAACTAAGAACATGTTAACATTGGATATTTCTAAACTCAGGACAAAATTTACAAACTATTTAGCACAGGTTTTTTTTTTGGTTTTTTTTTACGGTTGTAGATGCGTAACAGATTTTGGGGGTCAAAGTTAGAAAAAGTGTGGGTTTTGTTTTTTAAAATCCTATTTTATAATTGTTTTTATTGTAAATTATATAATATGAAAATAATGGTATCTTTATAAAGACCATTTAATGGCGAGAAAAACGGTGTATAATATGTGCGGATACAGTAAATGAGTAAGAGGAAAATTACAGCTAAACACAAACACCGCAGAAATGTAAAAACAGCCCTGGTCCCAAACCGTAAGAAAATTGAAAAACTGGTCCCTAAGGGGTTAAACATATATACAAACTCCGATAAAACCTCTTCTTCAGACAGAGAATTCCACATCCTTATTGTTCTTACTGTAAAAAAGAAAAACCCAAACCTTTACTTTGCTTTAGACAAAATCTCCTTTCTTAACCCCTTTGCGACCGGTGACTGTCCTGAACCGTCACAACGGAAAACGGAGATCAGAGATCGCTTCCGCTGAAATCCCGTTGTTACTATCTGTTACTACCTTCCCTGCCAAATCTGTTACAGCAGTGCATTTGTACTGTTACAGCAGTGCATTTGTACTGTCTGTATTTTATTTTGTTTGCCCTTGAGGGTTAAATTTGTGTTAAAAATCTGTGTCTTAGGCTGTCTGTCTGTTTCCTCCCCCCCACCCCCTAAATCTCCATTAGATTCTTTTAACAGGAGTTAGTTTAGGGATTGCTTTAAGTCTGTTTTAGTCCCAAAAAAATTGTTAGTATTTTGTTCGTTTAGTCAGTTTGTGTGAAACATGCAGCGCATGTACAGCTTGGAGGAGGCATATTCATTCTTGGCGTCAGACTCTGATGCCACTGACACTTCGTTTGATTTTTGACCCAGGTTAGTTTTCCGACACGTCTAGTGAACTGTCATCTGTGTGTAAGCCGGATGCAAAAAGAAGCTGTGCTTTCCCTGCTATGCCGAATGTGGAGGAGGACTGGGTACCTCCACAGTTAGCTGAGCCAAACATCCCCAATTTTTAGTGCCAACACAGGCATTAATGTCAATCTGGATAACTTCTCCCCAATGCAATACATGGAGCTATTTTTAGGGGATACCATCTGGGAGAATATTGCTTTCCAGACTAATTTATACGCTACCCAATTTACTGATACCAACCCAGGTAGCTATGCAGTCAGGGAGCATGCTTGGCATCCCACAGATGTCCCTGAACTTAAAAAAAAATCCTGGGCTCTTACAATGCTCATGGGGATTATAAGAAAGCAATCAATTCGCTCTTACTGGACCACCAACCCAATCTCTTCTAGTCCGGTGTACTCCCAAACCATGTCTAGAGCAAGATATGAGCTGCTGCTGAGATATTTACATTTTAATGATAATACCCTCTGTTACCCTAGAGATCACCCCCAATATGATAGGCTTCATAAAATACGCCCACTGGTAGACCATCTTCAGCACAAATTTTCTGAAGTTTATACTCTCCAACAAAATTTATATTTCACCTTAATGTTAGCAATTTTTACAGCAGCGTCCACTTGTTTAAAATTCTTTATGGTTTGCAGACACTGGCCTAGGGCACTGTGAGAAGAAATTCCAAGTATTTCCCCAGATCTCTCATAGAGGCCAAATTTAAAAAAGGTGAATGCAAAGTTGAAGTGCTTGCAATAAAATTTAAGTACAGGAAGGATGTTAATATACTAACCACCATCCATGACGAAAGCATGGCAGATGTCACTATCCGAGGCACAGTACAGACCAAACCTGTTTGCATCAGCACTTATAACAGGCACATGGGGGGTGTTGATTTGGCTGATCAGCTGATGCAGCAATATCTTATCTTAAAGGACCACTCTAGGCACCCAGACCACTTCAGCTTAATGAAGTGGTCTGGGTGCCAGGTCCAGCTAGGGTTAACCCATTTTTTAATAAACATAGCAGTTTCAGAGAAACTGCTATGTTTATGTAATGGGTTAAGCCTTCCCCCTATTCCCTCTAGTGGCTGTCTCATTGACAGCCACTAGAGGCGCTTGCGTTTCTCACTGTGATTTTCACAGTGAGAGCATTAGTGTCCATAGGAAAGCATTGTAAATGCTTATGTGACTGGTTGAATGCGCGCAGCCTTTGCCGCAGCCAGCCGACGGGCGGAACGGAGGAGAGCTCTCCGCCCAGCGCTGGAAAAAGGTAAGTTTTAACCCCTTTCCCCTTTCCAGAGCCGGGCGGGAGGGGGACCCTGAGGGTGGGGGCACCCTCAGGGCACTATAGTGCCAGAAAAACGAGTATGTTTTCCTGGCACTATAGTGGTCCTTTAAGAAAGCTAAAAGCCTGGTATAAAAAGGTGGCTATCTCTCTGATGCAAGTAGCAACACACAATTTATTTTTACTCTAAAAAAAAAAATGAACCCAGGAAAAACCACCTTTCTCCAATTTCCACAATCATTTATGGAGATGGTCAAGTTCCAACAACGGTGCCAGAGGAATCCAGACATTTTATTTTTAAGATACTGCCAACTGAAAAAAAAAAAATCCCCAGAAACTTTGCCGGTGTTAAAAAAGGAAAAAGGACAGACACCCCTTTTTCACTGTTGCGATTGCCCTACAAAAACTGGACTGTGTATTGGAACATGTTTTAAGCTATACCACACAGAACATACACTTTTGTAATACTTGTTTCTGAAGTGTTTTTTTTTTTTTTTATTTTTTTTTCTATCTTTTGAAAGCGGCAAAAGTCAGTTTCCTTCCCCCAAATCTCCAGTTAGATTCTTTTTGCAGGAGTTCGTTTAGAGATTGCTGCTAAAGGTGCATTTGATACCTGCACATTTGCTTAAAAAAGTTTTCTGTCAGTAACATAACTGGTTGGCCAAAACCAGATGACGTGTGCATAAAAAGCAGAATTCAAAAATTACCACCATGCACGTTCTCTGAAATTTGTTTAGCACAATGGTTGGGGGAAGGATGTGAAAACACCCCATATACAGGTGATACTCGAAAAATTAGAATATCATGCAAAAGTTCATTTATTTCAGTAATGCAACGTAAAAGGGGAAACTACTATATGAGATAGACGCATTACATGCACAGCAAGATAGTTCAAGCCGTGATTTGTTATAAGTGCGATGATTATGGCTTACAGCTCATGAAAACCCCAAATGCACAATCTCCGTAAATTAGAATATTACATGCAATCAATAATACAAGTAGTGTACATTATCGGACCTCTGAAAAGTATAAGCATGCATATGGACTCAGTGCTTGGTTTGGGTCCCTTTTGCAGCAATTACTGCCTCAATGCGGCGTGGCATGGACGTTATCAGCCTGTGGCACTGCTGAGGTGTTATGGAAGACAAGGATGCTTCAATAGCGGCCTTCAGCTCTTCTGCATTGTTCGGTCTCATGTCTCTCATCTTTCTCTTGGCAATGCCCTATAGATTCGCTATGGGGTTCAGGTCAGGCAAGTTTGCTGGCCAATCAAGCACAGTAATCCCACGGTCATTGAACCAGGCTTTGGTGCTTTTGGCAGTGTGGGCAGGTGCCAAGTCCTGCTGGAAAATGAAGTCAGCATCCCCATAAAGCTCGTCTGCGGAAGGAAGCATGAAGTGCTCCAAAATCTGGTAGACGGCTGCGTTGACCCTGGACTTAATGAAGCACAGTGGACTAACACCAGAAGATGACATGGCTCCCCAAATCAACACAGACTGTGGAAACTTCACACTGGACTTCAAGCATCTTGCAGTGTGTGCCTCTCGTGTGTTGCTCTCATCAGAAAAGAGGACTTTGGACCACTGAGCAACAGACCAGGTCTGTTTTTCTTTAGCGGCTTGACAAGAGGAATACGATATCTGAAACCCATGTCCAGGGTCCGTCTGTGTGTGGTGGCTCTTGATGCACTGACTCCAGCCTCAGTCCACTCCTTGTGAAAGTCCCCAACACTTTTGAATGGCCTTTTCCTGACAATCCTCTCCAGGCTGCGGTCATCCCTGCTGCTTGTGCACTTTTTTCTTCCACACTTTTCCCTTCCACATAACTTTCTATTAATGTGCTTTGATACAGCACTTTGCGAAGGAAGTTGGATGTTTCCAATTACCTTTTGAGGCTTTCCCTCCTTATGGAGGGTGTCAATGATTGTTTTCTGCACAACTGCCGGGTCAGCAGTCTTCCCCATGATTGTGATTCCTACTGAACCAGACTGAGAGACCATTTAAAGGCTCAGAAACCCTTTGCAGGTGTTATGGCTTACTTAGCTGATTCGAGTAAGACACTGTGAGTCTAGAATATTGCACCTTTTCATAATATTCTAATTTACTGAGATTGTGGATTTGGGGTTTTCATGAGCTGCAAGCCATAATCATCACACTTATGACAAATCACGGCTTGAACTATCTTGCTTTGCATGTAATGCGTCTATCTCCTATATTAGTTTCTCCTTTTACGTTGCATTACTGAAATAAATGAACTTTTGCACGATATTCTAATTTTTTGAGTATCACCTGTACAATACCCTGGAATGTCTACTTTATAAAAATAAATACTTTCACGATGTTAACATTTAACTGGGGGTTGTAAAAATATGCCAAACTGAAGATAGGCCAAGCATACCTATATATCAAGTTGAAAAACTGACCTGTACAAGTCTCTATCGTGTCCTTTTAGATTTGACAGATAAGTGTTACAATGTCAGTATTGATACATTTTAAAAATGTATGTTTTTAAACCGCAATATCCTACTTGTACTTATAGCCCTATAACGTGCAAAAAAGCATGTAAACACTGGGTGTTTTTAAACTCAGGACAACATTTTGAATCTATTTAGCAGTTTTTTTCATTAGCTTTTTTAGATGAGTAAAAGATTTTTCAAGTAAAAGTAAAAAAAAATGTATTTTTTTTCAATTTTTCATCATATTTAAAAAAAATATATATTTTTTTAATTAAATTATGAGATTATGCAAATAATGGTATGTAAAGAAAGTCCTTTTTGTCCTGAAAAAAAACACCAATATATAATTTGTATGGGAACAGTAAATGAGAGCGCGGAAAATTAGAGCTAAACACAAACACCACAAAAGTGTTAAAACCGCTCTGGTCCTTAACGTACAACATGGCCAAAACTGTACGGTCCTGAAGGGTTTAAACACATGACCTCGTGTCTTATGTACAGTCCTGTTTGTGAATAGATTTTCAGACTATGGTTAGGAACTAAAAATTCCTTTTATTAATTTTGTAGCCTGCCTCTGCACCGTTTCTAATGCCATAATATCCTTCTTTAAAACAGGTGCCCAAAATTGCACAGCATATTCAAGATGTGTTTTTTTATGTGATTTATAAAGAGGCAAAAATTATTACTGGCCTTAGCTCTGCTGATTGACATTGCACATTGTTGTCTAGTTTGTCTGTAACAATTTCTAAATACCTTTGCATTTTTCTACATTTAAATTTCATCTGTCATTTGAGTGCCCAGTCTATCTAAATCCCTCTGCAGCAAAGTAATATCTTGCTCACATTGTATTACTTTGAAACATTGCTTTTAATGCCTATTTTTAAGATCTTCTTTTATAAATATGTTAAATAGAAGCGGACCCAGACAAGAACCCTGGGGGACACCACTTACCACTTTTGTCCAGCTTAAAAATGTGCCATTAATGACTGCTCTCTGTTACTCTATTTTTAAAGTAACTGTATAGTTAAAAATAGGTATCAACTGATTATTGGCATAGCCGATAATGCAGACCAGGGCCGCACACTCTTGCTTACCTTCCCAGCAGCTCCCTTCAGCTCCCCTGTCTAACTCTCTCGAGTCCCGCGGCTGTCAGAGCGTTGCTCGCAGGCCACAAGAGTTAGACAGGGGAGCAGAAGGGAGCTGCTGGGAAGGTAAGTAAGCGTGTGGTGGGCCCCCTCTGCACAGTACATGCCACTGGACCCCCACGGGATGCCACATCCCCCCCCCCCCCTGGCCAGGTAAGAAGCAGTGAGGGGGGACTAAAACATAAAAAACAAACAAAAAAAATTCAATATTTAAAAAATAAATAAAAAGTCAAAAATTAAATAGAAATGCTCCCCTCCCCTGCACACTTAACATACCTACACAAACACACACACACTCTGCATTCATTATATACACTCACGACACAAACACACACACTCTGAATTTACTATACACACTACACACACCCTGCATTCACTATACACACACTACACAAGCACACACACTCTGCATTCATTTTTACTCACGGCGCACACACACACTGCATTCACTATATACACACTACACAAACACACACTCTGCATCCACTACACACACACATATATTCTTGAAAACAAAAAATTCTGACTGGCATGTATATTTTGTGCATTTATCTTAAAAAAAAAAAAAAAAAATTTGCAAAATAAATAAAATAAGCATGTTCAGTTAACAGTAGATTTGTGTAGAAATCGTTTATTTCGATAACTTACTGATTATCAGTATCTGCTCTAAAAAATCAATATCGACCGATCCCTACTCTTTACCTTGTTTTAGCTGCCTGGAGTGTCCCTTTAAGCCACTGTTCTGCATGAACAAGCCATTGTTCACAAGAACAAGAATTTTCACCTAGACAGAGTTCATTGAACACCAACCTAGTGTGTGGAACCGTATCAAACGCCTTGGCAAAATCCAAGTAGTGCACATCCTGCAATACCCTGATCTATGCTTCTACTGACTACAATTAAGTCAGTTTGACATGACAAAAAAAAAAAACAATGCTGATATTTACTGATAACAATGTTATTTTCATAACTGTGTTCTTCACACTTATGGTAGTAACATCACTGCAAATTTGCAATTTCTCTGGGAAAAGCAAGTCTTTTGGCTTGACTGTTGTGTGCAGATTTGTGTTTAACTGTTTATTATTATTTTTTTTTATTAACTTGGATTAATGGAATTTATTATTTAACCAAAATTAAAATAGTGCATGCATAAATATACAGCCACAGTAGGCATATCTTGAGTAAAGGCTATTTTTAGGTAGATTTTATTAATCCAAAAGTGTGATACTAAAAGAAATAAGATTAAAATATAAAGGGGAATTTTATTTATTTTTGACTTGCAACTTGATTTTTATTGGTAGTCTATCACTGGCTGGATGTTGAGAGTAATTGTACTTTAATAGGCTTAGAACCTGACACGCAACTGACACTCTATCTCCAGACACCAGGCAAAACTTTCGAGAGTCTGTGATGGTTGAATAAATCGTTGTGTGGCCACGTTCAAGTAACTTGGGGGATAAACAATTCAAAAATTATTTAACTCCTGAAGGTGAGATGGATCCCCAATAATACTGCCCCAATAACCTAATTTACTACAACTCAGTTATGTGACGTTGAAGCCACCTTAGGAAAACATTGACTCAGTGTATTTTAGATGCTTTTGTGTTCCTTAAATGTAAGAGTGGCCAGTTTTTCACAATTTGAGGTTATAATGCTTTATTCAGGTAGGTATAGATTTAATCTACAAATTTCGCTAGACTACCAAACCTTCATCAAATGGATATATTGAAATTAAGGTTTGTAGCTATAGACATGCGTGCGTACATATCTATAGTGTGTGTGTGTATTTACTGCATGTAATCCCAACTGCAATTTATCACTCATTAAAGAGATACTCTAAGCATCTAAACAACGTTAGCTTAATGAAGCAGTTTTAGTGTATAGCTCAGGGACAGGCAACCTCCAGATGTGGACTTCATCTCCATCTCCAATAATGATCTTACAGCTATAATGTGGCAAATCAACTGGAGTGACAAGGGTTGTCTACTACTGGTATAAATCATACCTCTGCAGTCTCACTGGTAAATTCTGAAATTTTCGAGTTAAATCACTTTTGTTTATAACCTATTTTTTTTGTATATAACCTATATAATAAGCATATTCATACACTTGATAAGACTTTTTAAGTCTACTTAAAGTTGCTAAAACCCTTAATGCTGTGTACACTCTATGAAGTACAATCTAGAAATCATTTTCTGCCATATTTGTTATCCTGCTTTGTTAGTAACGGACAACATGAGAAACTTACCAAAGCTTTAAAATAAATAAATAACCTCTACTGCTCATAAAACAGATTGCATAATATTTTAAGTGGAAATTCAAGCAAAAGCGACCTGTAAGACAGAGTAGACATAACAATCCAAAAGTATGATTTCTGTACAGTTGTGCTTCTGTAAACATTTTTTGTACAGAGCCCATGGTATGCCAATTAACTATAATTTATTGGCACTAGACCTTTTTCATTACATTACTGATATTGTGTTCTGCACTTTTAAAGGGAGCTTTAGTGGGCCAATTAGTCCATTTACATAATGCAGTATTTAGATATCCTATGTATAGGGTTACCAGATCATCACGTTTTTAGGGGGACACATAACTTATACACATGGGTGGGAAATGCATGAAGCTTGCCCTGTGGTATGTTGAATTCAGAAGGTGTAAGTAATTAGGCTATGAAGAATCCTGCAGAATATTCATTATACATACTACAGGGAAATACTTTTCATGCATTTTCAGCAGGGTATAATGGGATAGGTATTTTAACCCTAGGAGCAGATTCGCCCATCACATAACATACCTCCAAAGTGTCCCTATTTAGGTGGGAAAGACTCTGTGTTAGGCCCAAATCACTTTGTCCCTCTTTTCTAGGATCTCCATATTGTTGGAGTGACTTGAATATGTAACACAGCTCTACATCAATAATATTCAAAGTAATGTGTCTTCAAACTACAATAAATGTGTTCAGAGATCAGTCTGTGCAAATAAGATACATTGTTCTTGTTCTAAATTACATTTTAATTGTAGAAGTTATTAGTCACCTAAAACTTCTCATAACAGGCCCTCTGCTGGACATACCCACACTCACACTCCTAAATTTTTTAATTGCAATAATCTTTATTGCTATATTTTTTCAATTTAACAGATAACATAAATTTACATATTGCTCACATCTGATACTTTTTAATAAGTTTTAATACTATTATACATCTTTACATATAGATAGCCTTGAAGGAAAAAAAGTGCATAGTTTTATTTTCAAAAATGTCTTACATACAGGGTTACTCTTCTATTACGGTAACGTTTTTTTGTAAGCATATTTCCCTAAATAACCTATTCTTAGGTGAGGAATTGTCTATCCATCTGATACCATTCTTCATTTTTAATTGAAGGGTTAGTTGAGCTATCCATTGCGAATGTGTTATATTAAATAGTTGTTTCTAGCCAATGAATTTTGCTGCCATAAAACCGTGCATTGCAATATATAGTTGTTTTGTTGTCATAACTGGCCAAAACCGGTGTAAGAGTACGGTTTGGGGAGATCTTTGTGTCTTAATCTCATCAAACCTTATTAAAAACATGAAAACCGAATCCCAGAGTATTTTAATGCTTGGACAACTCCACCACACATGAATATAATTACAGATCGATTCCATGCATCTCCAATATATGTTTAAGGCACTAGGATCTATTTTAAGGATTCTTGTGGGGACCAAATACCATCTATTTGCTACTTTAAAAACTTTTTCATATAGTGCAAGGTTATGTATATATTTATTAACTTTAGTTAGCTCCCCATACCACTCTTTTGTGAGGATATTTATGGGGTGATAAATATTAAAAATATTTTCATAAAAATGAACAAGTTTAATTTTTATTATATCAAAATGTATATCTTGGCACTGTTTCACCAATTATATTAATTTAAAGCTGAGAATTACCCACTACACATTAATCACAAATTAATTATAAAAATATAATTTATTGTGACAATATATGTAACATGCGTGATAATAATCGGTGAATATTTAGGTATAACATAAGTATACAATATGGCAGTGAGTTAACACAATTTATAGATGGTTCAGTCCAGCAGCATTATAGAGACATGTATGCGGTCTTCAACAAGATTTACGAGACACTTCACTTTGAAATCAACTTAACAAAGAACACAGCAGCACAGCTAAGGCAATAAAAACTTTGTCTGACTGTCAAATCACACTGAATTAACTCATTCACTGCTGGCTACAATTCTCATAGGCAAGATATCCTTTTATATTGCAATTTTACAAATACAATATTTCTCATACTAGATCATTTGACCATTCCTATGTCCATTCAATAAGAATAATTCTAACCAGATTTTATGTTTGCAGAATTTTAACTTTCCTACGTAAGATTTACTATTTCTAAATTACATAAGCTAATATATCTGGATAATTGCCTGGTATTTAATTTTTAAAGTTAAAAGTAATATAGAGTTCATTGGCCCACCTGCAGGAATGGAATTACGAATTCTATATATTCTTAACGAATCATGACTCCTTGGAATCACCAGCTTTTATCCAAGTATATTCTGCCTTTTAGTAAAATCATTTAATTTTATTAAATAAAACCAGCATAATTACCAGTTATGTTGTAGAGTTTTGTTGATATGTCCCAGGAATTTTGAATGCAAGTATGAATATCGAGAATTGTGTGAATTCAGGAGCGTTTTCAGAGTTATGAATTTTAAAGAATTTCAAAGTTAAGTGTTCGTTGGAAAAGCTACAAAGAATTAGGTGTGTCCAGCTTTGGCTCCAGATGTCAGATCTTAGATGTTTGGCGTGAGTCCATCCTCAGTGTTAGTGTGTGAGTGGCTGTCTCTCCTTTGTTCTTAATTTTTTAAAACATTTTTAAATTCTTTATTTTTGCTGTGCGGGTGGGTACAAGAAATCAACAGGTGCCACAACAGCGTATTGCAAGATATACAATGGTTAAAGGGACACTGTAGTCACTATAAGCATTTCATCTCTTTGAATTGGTTATAGTGCCTGGAGTACCCTGGCACTGTCCCTCCATTCAGTGTTGCACCATGTTCGTGCAGTATGCCACAAAATAAGAGTCCCTGGCCACCCACAGTCCGGCCCCTTCAGTATGTGTAGCTAAGGCAGAGATTACACACTTCCTTGTTGTCATACCCACTCATACCGTCAGTTGGAACTCTGACAGGCTAAAAGCAGTCAGCTGACACTCTCAGCCAATCACAGCTGCCCATTTCTGCTCAGGCTAATACTTCCTTATTAGCCAGAGCAGCACAGAGGGGATGGATTGCCAGGGACTCTTGTTTAGCATTAAAACATTAAAACTTTAAAAACTGTTTAATGCTGATAGAAATGATGGGACCAGAAGACTCCAGACATTATAAACAGTTTAATGAGATGAAGCAGATACAGTGCCTACGGTGTCCCTTTAAACAATGGCATGAGAGTCTGCACAATTTTATATTTTTAGCAAGCTTGGCCAAACATTTGTATCGTTAGCGTGAAGTTAAACGAAATACAGCAAGATAATTGATGCTTAACTTGTCTAATTAGGCATATGTGTGAGAACCAAAACAGTGAGCTTATTTTTGCCGTTGAAACAGGAGCAATGGTCAGCATCAAGAACTGATGTCTATAGGCTTAATTAAGTTTAACCACCAGGGTGCAGCAGAGCGTCGGCCATACATGCAAGCTCAGACATTTTAATTGCTTTCTAACTGCAGGAAGAATCTGCTATAAAAGACACACATTAATATTGTAGATGAGATACTAGATTAAGAGGTACACCATAGTCTGTTATAACTTTAGGCATATATGGTTAGAAGCCACTTGATCCCTCCTGCAGCTGTGCTAAATCTCTGACTGTAGCTGGTTATTTCAGTGTGTGGGGGCTTGACAGTCAGGAGTGGAGTGGAGCTTATTCCCCATTTTCGTTGTTCCCTTATACTCAGGCAGGGTCAAAGTCCAGATAGAGTCCCCTTATATCCACTGTTGTTAATGAGAGGTGATGCCTCTGTTGGTGTGAGTGTTATAGAGCTGAGCTGTGCTTGGCTTGCTTGTGGAGTATATCCCTTATACAGTTATCCTGTGGGTGGAAGGAGCACTTTGCTGTCTGCCGTTGCTTTGGTACTTCCCCCTCACTTCGTCTCACAATGAGCGCGGCGGCCATCTTAGTTTTTCCCATGCGGTCCCCGGTCAGTCTTCCTTCTGCCTAGATGCCCTGAACGAGCGCTGCTTCCCCGGTGGGGTCCGGGATAACCCCCCGGCCCACAGGGGGGGGGGTAACGGGGCCCTTAGCAGTCGGCAGGAGGTCCTGCCGGACCAAGCACGGGAGATCGTCCGCTTCTCCCGCCAGGGCCTCACAGCAGGCCACTCGCCCACCAGACCGCATCGCCAGCAGAGTGGGGGCTGATACTTGCCCCGAAGGTTGTTGGTCGGGTCCTCTTTGCCCTCTCATGGCAGCTGAGGAGTTTCCAGGCAAGAGAGGGCATTTTTAAGCTGGTCCCTGCGATTTTAGCAGAGAGCCGAGGTGCCCCACGTCTACCCAGCTCGGCGGCCAGGCCCCGTCCCCTTTGTTCTTAATTTTTAAAGGAGAAGTTTTCTACACGTCACTAGTTGATAGTGACCAATAGTGAGGTGGGCGTGTCTTCCCTACAGACTATCATCTAGATTTTGGTCAGTAGACGGTGCAATTACATCACAGAAAATTCTTGTCAGGGGGTCCATTTACCTTTTTGTATAATGGGTTAACTGATTTTCGTGATGCGTTTGATGTTATCTTTTATGATACCTATTCATCAAAGACCTGACAATCTTCAAAGCGTTTTGGTTGGATTCAACCAGACTTGTCTGCATTTTCGACATTAAATTATTTTGACACGTCTTTTTATACAATGGAACTTTGTAAGATTTTTAAAAAAAGTTAAATTAATTACTTAATGTTATCTGTCATTGGTAATGTGATTTGGTAACGTTGGTAAATAATGACATTTCTTCATTGATATTATATCCATGAATATTCTTTATCATTAACGTAGTACTATTTATATATTATTAATATAATAATAGTAAGCTATATGTGGATAGTGTGTATGTGTATATATATTTGTTTACATTAGTTGCAAGCTCAGGCTTGAATGAAGTTACAGAGAAGTAAAAATGTGTCTGTCTTTGCATTGTGATACAAAATGTAGTCACTTCTATTCTGATGGTGACTTACATTATACACTTTTAATTTCTTTCTTAACACAAAATGTCTGCCAATATAAATATACTGACCCTATTAACAGATTTATATCTGCTTCCTATTTTTTCATTTTTTTAAATTTATTTTTTATTGCAACTGGCTCTTCTGTTTTTGTAATTTGTACTAACAGCAATTAGATATTTTATCTCTTTCTATCTGGCCAAAGATTTTGTGCATATGGTCTCTCGGTTCTACAGTTCCATATATACATGTGACCCATAATATATGATTAAACTCTCAAATAGCTAAATACATCTGAATTTGTCAAAGCAAATTCCTTTATCAAGGATGGGAAGGGTTTGATTGTATCCTCATTCGTAATATCTGATATCCTATTAATATTTTTGCTTTTCCAGCTGAGAACTGATAAATCTTCTATTATATAATTAAAGGAGCACTATAGTGAACATATATAAAAGCAAGAAAGACTTAGCCTTCTTTCTTGCTTTTATGTTCGTCCCCCTAATAAAAAAATGAATTCCGAGGTAATCTGAGGTAAGTTTACATTTAATTATGTAAACTTACCTCCGTTCCAGCGCCGAGATCTTTGGCAGGCCGCGCCCTCTTTTTTTTTTGTCAAAATGACGAAACAGGCTTAATCAGATGCTTCTCTTAGAGAAGCGTCATCGGTATGTAAACATATACACACTCTATCCATCCTTCTCTATCCATTCAATACACACTCTATCCATCCCTCTCTATCCATCCAATACACACTCTATCCATCCCTCTCTATCCATCCATCCATCCCTTTATCAAGGACGGGAAGGGTTTGATTGTATCCTCATTCGTAATATCTGATATCTTATTAATATTAAAAGATGTATAGAATTTCTCACACACTCATGAATAGTGTCCACATACAGTGCTGTATAAATTTCAATTCAAAAAGTGATTGTGATAGAAAATAGAATAACTTCCCTTAGCAATATAGGATATGCCCGAAGATTTGCTCCTATCTTCAATTCAACATGTATATGGTATAGGGCTAGGGTTTGATTGTATCCTCATTCGTAATATCTGATATCCTATTAATATTTCTGCTTTTTCCAGCTGAGAACTGATAAATCTTCTATTATATAATTAAAGGAGCACTATAGTCAACATATAAAAGCAAGAATGACAGCTCGCCTAGCTTGCTTTCTTGCATTTATATTAGTTTCCTCCTAATAGAAAACGAATCAGAGTGCTTTTAATCGTGTAAACTTACCTCCGTTCCAGCGCCGAGATCCTCTGAGCGGTATTGGCGAGCTGATCTGACTGACAGCTTAGATCGCTGCCTAAGCCCGCCCCTTCCTACCGCAACCCTCCTAAGCCAAAAGTATGTGTTTACATAGAAACTCTATATAGAGAGAGATCTGTGTGTTCTCTATCATCCATCCATCTCTCTATCCATCCATCCATCTCTATCCATCCATCCATCTATCCATCCATCCCTCTCTATTCCTCTATCCATCCCTCTATCCATCCCTCTCTATCCATCTATCCATCCATCCTTCTATCCGTCCATCCATCCCTTTATCAAGGACGGGAAGGATTTGATTGTATCCTCATTTGTAATATCTAATATCCTATTAATATTTCTGCTTTTCCAGCTGAGAACATTTTGCCGTCCATGCTCAATAGCTTCCCAATGCTTTTCCATGGGAAAACATTGGTAAGCTATTGAGCATGCATGGCAAAATACTGCACCAATCAGCATCTCCTCATAGAGATGCTTTAAATCAATGCATCTCTATGGGGAACGTTCAGCACCTCAGCGTGGAGATGCGGAATGAAGATAGGAGACACTATACTGTCTAGATAGGGGAAACTTTAGTTGGGATGCAGTGTTTTTTGACAAAAACACAATTCTTAAAGGAACAGGCAATAGACACCAGAGCCACTACATTAAGCTACAGTGGTCCTGGCGACTATAATGTCCCTTTTAAGAATTCTGTTTTAGTTGTTGAAAAAATACTTGCTCCTAACTTTTTTTAGCTGGCTCTTTGATTCAGTGCCAATTTGTCAAGCCCTGGTATAAACACGGTTTTAGTTCTCATGTTTCTGTTGGAAAACCTTTTTTTTAATATTTGGATTAGTTCTTTTTGCCATCTAATTGCCATCATTTCCACAACTCTGGCAGATGGATTATAATATTTTGATTTAATTGCCTTTAGGATCCAACCTCCCATTCCATATGCTATCCCCATCCAACCCTATTGAATGCCTTTTCTGCATCTGTCAGAAGGACCACACCTTAAATTTAAACTGACACTATAGTGACCAGAACTACAGCTTAATTTAGTTGTTCTGGTGAGTATAATACCTTCAGGCCTTTTCAGATGGCCACTGGAGTTGCTTCCTGGTTCAGTGCTGCACAGTAGCATGGGGGGCGCAGAATTTTCCCTCTTTGTGTCCCTCTTTGAATATTTGGAATGTTGAGAGGATGTGTGCAACTGTTGTATAAACTGATAACAGTGATATGGCTACTGTTCTCAACAGTGGGCGTTATTTTATCCAAGTATCACAAAAGTGTCACAGTTCTCCTCATGCCATCGAGACGACTAGGCATGGCCACCCCATAAGTGTCCAACAGGGGATTTGAACCCGGGGCCTTCTGCATCCTAAGCCTGCGTTCCTGCTTCTGAGCCACTTCTGAACTTTGGATCTAGACTTGTTTATACGGCAATGCCTGCAGCACTAGAGGGCTGGACTTCACCAGTGGCTCCCACCTGTCTGTCAATCTAAGTCCACCTGAGGCAGATGGATCATTATACACCTATATAACACTGCCTCTATCTGAGGGCAGGGTCAGTTCGTTGTTTCTTGTTTCATGATCCTGTTGTTTAAGACTGACTTGGCTTGTGACCCCTGCTTTTGGATCTTTGTTATTGACTGTTCGCTGCCTGCCTTGACCTTTGGAACTGTGTCTGAATAGTCTTCTGGATTTGCCCTTGTCTGTTTCCTTGTACCCAGTTACTGTTCCTGCCTAAGCCCCCATGCACAGATTCACAGCCCAGGTAGCTTATATCTGGTTACCATGGGCTGTGTTTATTTGCAAGGGTGAGCGAACATATCTGCACTAAAGACTCCCATCTCAGGTAAAACCCTGACAAAAAGTTTAAAAAGGGAAACTGTAGGCACCCAGACCACTTCAGCTAATTGAAGTAGTCTGGGTGCTGTGACCCTTTCGCACTTAGTGCTGCAATGTAAAACATTGCAGTTCCAGAGAATGGCAATGTTTACATTGTAGCTCTAAGTCTGCCCTCTGTGACTGTCTACGAGACAGCCACTAGAGGGCTTCCTGAATCCAAACAGACTTTTGATCTCTTATCTGACACTGGACGTCCTCACGGAGTATGGGGGCAAACACGGGGTATGGGGATCCCCTATGACATAATTGATTATAGACAAATACTGTAGTACAGAAACAGGTTGTGTCCATTATAAACAAGCTAATGAAACAAAATATTGGATTAGAAGAGAATAATAGCAAATAAATAGTTTACAAAGTCTAGTCCAAATTATCTTCTAGTGATCTGGGTTCTTATGTAGTGTATTTTGTTCTCATTTTGTGCTTATGTGGATAAAAAAGAGGGAGGAAAAAAAGCTGATGGTGTATTATTTGCAGGGCCGGACTGGGGATACGAAATAGCCCTGGAAAAAAATCTATGCCAGCCCCATAAGTCATTGTGCTATGTAGGGTGTTATTTAATTACCCTGAAAGGACTAATATTTTGCATTAGAAGAAGAAATGTATCAATAATATATATATTATTATTATTGATACATTTCTTCTTCTAATGCAAAATATTAGTCCTTTCAGGGTAATTAAATTATACATTAAAGCATACTCAGACACAGACAATCTCAATGACACACACAGACAAGGTTACTGGCACACACACAAATTTTAGTACAGACAAACTGATACACACACAAGCTTACTACAGACAAGCTCACTGTCACACACACACACACGCTCACTACAGACAAGCTCACTGATGAGCACACTCTTTCCCTACCGACAAGCCTATTGACTCACACATGCTCCCTACAGAAGAGCTCACTAACACGCAGATTCACTACAGACAGGCTCACTGACACACACATGCTCACTACAGACAAGCTCACTGACACACATATGGTCACTACAGACAAGCTCACTATCACACACATGCTTACTACAGACAAGCTCACTGTACACACATTCTCACCACAGACAGGTTCCGACACCCCCATGCTCCTTACAGACAAGCTCACTAACACGCACACACATATGATCCCTACAGACAAGCTTACTGACCATCAGACGCGCGCACACACGCTAGGCTCCGCCCCGCCGCAAATTATTATTTTTTTAATGATCCCGGCTGGCCATGTGTGAGCTGTGCCGGCTGCCTGGCTCCCCCTGCTCCCATGGGGCCCTGTGCAGCCGCACAGCCCACATATGGCCGGCCGCGATTACAGGAGCCTGATCACTGATTAGGGCTGTCAGCCCAGCCCCAGGTGCCGCGGCCCACTGGGAAACATCCGGGTGGGCCAGTCCGGCCCTGACTATTTGTTGCACTGGGTGTACCTACAACAAGATACGCAAGTACCCACTTACATGTTATAGAGTTTCATACCAGCTCTAGTACTATCAGCGTGTTGTGGTATTCTCACCGCTAGTGGATATAGCTGGGGTCACTCTTCTAAATCACAGTGGAACATGTAATGACACAATATTGCACTCCTTGGATTTTATTCTAAGTACAGTGTACATAAAGTGGAAAAAAAAAATATAATATTCAAAAAATACCCGGTGATTTATTCTGCTTCTTTAAAAGGAAAAAAGAAATGTGGTGTATCTATAATTTTTTCTAGAGAAGTTATCTTTGATTGCTGTTACAACTACTTAGATCCGGAAGGGAGATTTATTATTTTAGTGGGTCAAATGAATGGGTTGGATTATACTTTGGTCAATGTTTAACAATATGAAAACAAAGAAGTACACAGTGTTAGAAAGTGTGATAGCTCTTAAAACACCTATAAAGTGGTACCCCTTACACCACTATAAAAGCAATACAATACATACAAAGTAATAGGTGGAGCTGAGTAATGTCCTGTATCTGTAAAACAGAATAAATACAAATAGCGTAGAGAGTTTGCACAGATAATTACTGTAAAAGTAGAAATAAAATCGTTGAACTCACAAGATTGGAGTCATACCATCATATGACTCTAGAGGTATGTTCCTTTGGACCATTAGGGGGTTGTCCAGACCCTTCTGTCGTTGGTTACTGGATACTCCTCTTTAGTGGTCCTTTTCGTGTCCCCCAAGGAATTCTCAGTATATTACTTGTTCTTAAAAATAATATTTCTTTATTTCCAATATAAAATGTTTACAAAAATTAACAATAAACAAAAACACTATACCAATAAATATTGGATATAGGTAGAGTAAGTTAGTGTCCAAAACGCGTTTCGCCTGATATACAGGCTTCCTCAGTTCTATAGAAAGGCAAGAACGGAACATCATAGAGCCAACTGAGGAAGCCTGTATATCAGGCGAAACGCGTTTTGGACACTAACTTACTCTACCTATATCCAATATTTATTGGTATAGTGTTTTTGTTTATTGTTAATTTTTGTAAACATTTTATATTGGAAATAAAGAAATATTATTTTTAAGAACAAGTAATATACTGAGAATTCCTTGGGGGACACGAAAAGGACCACTAAAGAGGAGTATCCAGTAACCAACGACAGAAGGGTCTGGACAACCCCCTAATGGTCCAAAGGAACATACCTCTAGAGTCATATGATGGTATGACTCCAATCTTGTGAGTTCAACGATTTTATTTCTACTTTTACAGTAATTATCTGTGCAGACTCTCTACGCTATTTGTATTTATTCTGTTTTACAGATACAGGACATTACTCAGCTCCACCTATTACTTTGTATGTATTGTTTTGGTCAATGTTTATTTACCTAATAAAGACCCAATTAAAACTTTGATGAAAATTTTAGGTTTGGTTGAACAGGTTAAAAAAGGTAGTCATTCTTGCTGGAGATTTTAATTGCATCTTTGACACCTCTTGGGACATACAATTGGCTAAAAATCAGAGGATAGATAAATCTCTTAAAAGGCAGGCGGCATCGTTAAGTAGAGTGATCAAGAAAGCGGATATGTTTGACACAGATCTATCCCTCACAACTCATCTGCTCGGATAGATATGATTCTGGGTAATTTAAAATTAGTTCAGGCAATCTCTTTAATTTCTATCGTTGAAAATACTTGGTCAGACCATGACATGGTAATCGCAGATCTGGTGGAAATTAATAAGTGATCTCCGCAGATCTGGAAATTGGCAGACTATTTGCTAAAAAATAAAGCAAATGTAGAACATATAGAGAAGTTAATTGATTTCTTTATTAAGGAGAATTCATCTGAGGAGGTATCTAAAGAATGCTTATGGTCCTCGTGTAAAGTAGTCATCAGGGGACACTGGTTAAAACTCTCAAGTTTTCAAAAAAGGAATGTAGATAATATTTTGTCGGATCTTTACATTCAATTTTATAATCTTTCTAAAGCTAACAAACAAGTTTACTCTGAAGATAGAGCTCTAGCTATTAAAGCCTACCAAGAAAAGATAAATGAACAGATTAAGAATAGAGTGGAACGTAATCTAAACAAGTTAAATATTAAATATTATTATAAGAATAACCGGGTAGACTCAGTCTTAACAAATAAATTAAAGAAAAAGATGACTGACCATAAGATATCTAAATTAAGAGATGGAATTAATTACATCTATAAGCCTGAAGAAATTGCCAGTAAATTTTGAGTGTTCTATCAAAAACTTTATAACCTGAATAAATCTCCTGACCAAGGTTAAATTATCTAACGATCAGATGGTGAAACTTAATAGAAATATATCTTTTCATGAAGTGGAATTGGCAATTGATAAGCTTGTTAATAGTAAAGCTCCTGGACCGGATGGGTATACGAATTTGTTTAAGGTTTTTAAGAGACAATTAATTCCGTTGTTAACTGACACCTTTAATGAATTGGCAATCAAAGGGAATGCATCTCAAGATTTATTAAGGGCTCATATTACTCCAATTTTGAAACTGGGCAAAAGGTCAGATGATGTGAGTAATTATCGCCCTATATCTCTGGTTAATGTGGATATGAAACTTTATGCCGCAATTTTAGCGGAACGTTTGAAAATAATCTTGCCATCACTTATACATAGGGACCAGATAGGTTTTATGCAGGGAAGACACTCCTCAAATAACACTCGTAGGGCTCTGGACATTATAGAATGGGCTCAAGCTGAGGGAACCCCCCTTCTGACCCTGTCGGTGGATGCAGAAAAAGCCTTCGACAGGGTCGGATGGGGATATCTGAAGAGAACTTTGTTACAGTTCGGTTTTGATGGATGGTTCTTGAGTGCGGTGGGAGCTATATATTCGAATCCCTCTGCCCGTATAGTAGCCCGTGATTTATGCTCAGATTGGCTTTATATTAAAAATGGGACGAGACAGGGGTGTCCTCTTTCACCTTTATTATACGTCTTATCAATTGAACCACTAGCAAATAATATTAGACAAAATGTAGGGATTAAAGGATTAGGAACCCAACATGATGAATGGAAGATATGTCTATATGCTGACAATATCTTAATTTCTATTACGGATCCCCTGGTTTCTCTTCCTCATTTAATGCAAGAATTTAACAACTATAGTAGTGTTTCAAATTATAAATTGAACACGAATAAAACAATAGCTATGCCGATTAATATCCATAAAGATAATTTACTTTCCCTAAAGAAAGATTTCGATTTTAAATGGACAAAATTTTTTTATATATTTGGGGGTAATCATAACTGCAGATATAAGACGGACTATGGAAATCAATTTTTTGAAGCTGTTAAAAGAGACTAACATGTTATTAAAAGAATGGAGAGTGCATGAAATTTCCTGGTGGGGAAGGATAAATACTATTAAAGCCTATATAATTCCTAAATGGGCTTACTTATTTAGTATGCTCCCTCTCTCGATCCCGAGCTATTGGCTGAATATGCTGCAAAATAGCATTACAGCGTATGTCTGGAGACGGAAGAGACCAAGAATTAGTACATACACTCTATCAAGGAAGGCCCATCGGGGGGGTTGGGTTACCCCCTAGTGAATCAAATCTACCAGGCTAATATACTTGTTCATGCCAGTAAATTACAATTAAGCGACTCTATAGACCAAGCTTGGTATAAAATTGAAGCAGCCAGACTTGGTTTAGATAATCTCGAATTCCTCTTATGGAGAGAGGCAAGCCAGAATAAGCATCTGTGCGAGATTGGTTCGCATTTTCCTTTGTCTTTATTACAGACATTAAGAGAATGGACTAATATAAAGAAGAAGTTGAATATTAATAGAAAACTATATGAGAACCTGAGTCTAAGGTCGTTAGAATGTTTTATGCTAGAGATAAACCTGACGAATTGGTATAAAGACTCTAATCATAAGATAAAAGATCTCTATAATGACCAACAATTGAAAAGCTTTGAAGTTTTGAAAAATTGGTTAGATTTACCCTCCAGAGAATTATTTAACTTTCTTCGTATTAAGAGCTATTTGAAAGATAACATATTGGTTTAAGAAGGCCGTTTAGGAATACTGTTTAGAAATATCTTTTCAGGGTGTAACGTTAAAAGGATCTTCTCTAGTGCAGTTGAACTAATAAAAATGAAAGGGACCCCACTTATTCCCAAAGCCTTAACTAAATGGGAAACTGATTTCTATTCCATTTAATAGTTGGTGTAAATCTTTTGTAAGGACTAAAAAAATTATTTACTGCCTGAATATTCTAGAGACTTTTACTAAAATATTATATAGATGGTACCTGGTACCTACCAGACTTGCCAAAATTTCTATTACTAATCCATCTAATTGTTGGGGTTGTCTACATTCAGATGGTTCTATGGTTCATATATGGTGGTCCTGCTATCGAATTAAATCTCTTTGGACGATTACATATGAATTTATAAATAGAATTGGAGGTATTTATTTGGAATTCAAACCGGAAGTCGCCCTACTCCAACTTTTGGGTTTAGAAATGAAGGATAATCTTGATATTGTGATTATACACTGTTTAATGGCTACTAAAATATTAATTGCTAGATTTTGGAAAAGCACTGATATTCCTACGAGAGATCATGTTAAAGCCCAACTTCTATTCCTAGTCGAGATGGAAAAGGGGTTAATGTCCATTAGAGATTATCCTAATTTTAATTCTTTGACGTTTTATTCTAGTCTTGTTGAAAAAATTAATGGGCTTTAAGGAGTTTGAGGAGGTGGGGTACTGCTTACGATCACCTTATGGTTAATCTGATGTTTTTTCTTAATGGGTTCTATTGTTGGGCTCCTTGTCCCCATACTGTATTACTTAAATGTGGTAGTGGATCTGCATTACATATGACCAGTTTTGTCTTTGTTTTTGTCTGTCTTATCTACAAGGTTTTTAAGGCCGATTTTGGAACATGATATCCAATCGATGGGACTTTAATGTTACTGTATTATTGTGTTCTAGACAGCCTATTGATGAATTTTGAAATAGAATAATATACCTTTGTTTGTTTATTGGGGATAAGAGTCCTTAATTTTTCTTTGTAAGGTTCCTCCCCCGAGATGTTATGTCTATTATTATTCTCATGAAAAAATCTAATAAAAAGAATTTAAATATATAATAAATGACCTCACATGTGCAGTGCTATTCACAAAGATTACCATTATATCTTAAAACAACATCACTTCTTTTGAAGTCACATTATGGAGAGAATTTTTTTTTGCAAATATCCTATAACATGTTCTATCTTGTGTTAATCCATTTCTTTTAAATGTAGTAGTTTTTTTTTTTTTTTTTAATATAATATTAGAATTTTCTTCTCATGTGCTGTTTAAATTGTATGTTGAAGACTTGGCAAAGTACATCACAATCCAACAAAATGTTTATTTTCTCTTTCTCTATGATGACTGCCTGGATAGAATTTGTAACAATGTTAGACAGGGAGGTGAGCTGGAGGTACCAAGTTGCAGGATAAAGAGTAGTTAAAGCGGCACTGTCATGCCGAATCCCGTTTTTTTTTTAACCCCCCTACCGCCTCCACTACATCCAATTGACCCACTAGTCACCCCCAAATACCCCTAAGCCCCCCACATTACCTATTTTTTATTCCTTATTTTCTGCCCCGATCTATATTCAGGGCGCCGCCATCTTTGTGTGGGTAGGTGAAGTCCCTGTGGGACACGTCATCAGCCCACACTAGGCAGACACTGAGATTCCCGCACATGCCCAGTGAAACACCTGGACATGCGAACGGGAATTTCATCTATTCACTCATTCATCAGACAGACGAATGAGTGAATAGAAATATCAGCCAACAAACAAACAAACACAATGTATCAGTGTTAGTTTGTTCGTGCAGTTATTACAGGGAGGGAGCTACCGGCGTGCAGCTCCCTCCTTGTAATATGTAACTATAGAAGCGGCAGGGAGCAGTGCTCCCCACCACTTCATAAGCCCCCCCCAGTACCCCCTCTCACTCTATGGGGGTCAATATGACCCCCATAATAGCACAAGGGAGGTTAAAATCTCCCAAATGCCCCTGCTCTCTATACCGCGAGTAGGGGCATGTCTACTAAACAGTGAGCAGCCTATGGCTGCTCACTGTTGGAAAAAAAAGACATAAATTACAATAAGGGGGGGCGGACCGATTGTCCTCCCCCCCTCCCCCACCCTGAGCGGCGGGTGGGGGCCATGAAGATAATGAGGGGGGGACCTACTGTCCTCCCCCCGGCCCCCACCCTGAGCGGTGGGTGGGGGCCCTAATAAAACAATAAAGGGGGGGACCTACTGTCCTCCCCTGGCCCCACCCTGGGCGGTGGGTGGGGACCTACTGTCCTCCCCTGGCCCCCACCCCTGCGGTGGGTGGGGGCCCCAGTAAGCTAATAAGGGGGGGGACCTACTGTCCTCCCCTGGCCCCACCCTGGCGGTGGGTGGGGGCCCCAATGCACTGTGGGGGATCTGCTGTCCTCCCCAGCCCCCAGCGGTGGGTGGGGGCCCTAAATAAAGATATGGGGGGGGGGACTTCTGTCCCCCCCCGGCCCCCACCCCTGCGTGGTGGGTGGGGACCCTAATAAAACAATAAGGGGGGGACCTACTGTCCTCCCCCACCCCTGTGCGGTGGGTGGGGGCCCTAATAAAACAATAAGGGGGGGGACCTACTGTCCTCCCCACCCCTGCGCGGTGGGTGGGGGCCTTAATAAAACAATAAGGGGGGGGACCTACTGTCCTCCCCCCCTGGCCCCCACCCCTGAGCGGTGGGTGGGGGCCCTAATAAAACAATAAGGGGGGGACCTACTGTCCTCCCCGCCCTGGCCCCCACCCCTGAGCGGTGGGTGGGGGCCCTAAATGAAACACCCCCCCCAATCAAGGTGACTAGGGGTCCCAAGCCCCTAGTCACCACCCCCCCACCCAAAAAAACCTATCCCCAACCTACCCCCCTCACCCAGGGTGGGGAGGACAGTAGGTCCCCCCCCCCTTATTGTTTTATTAGGGCCCCCACCCACCGCGCAGGGGTGGGGGCCAGGGGGGGAGGACAGTAGGTCCCCCCCTATTGTTTTATTAGGGCCCCCACCCACCGCTCAGGGGTGGGGGCCAGGGGGGGGAGGACAGTAGGTCCCCCCCCCTTATTGTTTTATTGGGGCCCCCACCCACCGCTCAGGGGTGGGGGCCGGGGGGGAGGACAGTAGGTCCCCCCCCCTATTGTTTTATTAGGGCCCCCACCCACCGCTCAGGTGTGGGGGCTGGGGGGGAGGACAGTAGGTCCCCCCCCTTATTGTTTTACTGGGGCCCCCACCCACCGCTCAGGGGTGGGGACCGGGGGGAGAGGACAGTAGGTTTTATAGAAAATTAAAGAAGATAGGAAGAAAAGAATAACAGATCCTGAGAGAGGGGGAGAAGAGGAAGAGATTGAGGAAAGGTAAGTTCGGCATGACAGTGCCGCTTTAATTTCTGAATTGTATTTTATTTTTCATACATCAGGGCTTGACAAATTTGTTAGTTTTCAATGAGAAAAATGCAATGCTTAATGGACCCTACAGATACCAGAACCACTATAGCTTAATGTAGTTATTCTAGTGTTTATACCCTGTACATGCAGACCTTTCAACATAAACACTGTCTGCAGCACCTACGTTCAGCGTCTCTACGCTGTGCCTGGAGGCGTTGAATGTTCCCCATGGAGATCATTGATTAAAAACATCTGTATGAGAAGATGCTGATTGGCACTTTCGCTGCGCATGCGCAATATCTACCCAATGCTTTCCTACAGGAAAGCATTGGCTTGACTGAGATCCTAAGTTGATCTCGGTCATGGAGGCTGGACCGAAATCGTCATGGGATAAAAGGTGAGTAAAAGCACCTTTGTCATGCAATTGGAGGGGGGAGCAGGTACCTACACAAACACACACACACACTCTCTGACAGGCGCACTCACTGAAATTTTTATTTTTACTGAAATCAATCCAGTCTACCAGTCTGTCTACCAGTGGGAGCCTGCGGTCCAGTGGGGCTGCTCTGATAATCTTCCTGCAACTACTTTCTGCTCCCTCATGCTCTGTAGTGATGCCGGGGGCCGGAATTAAGTCATATTCCGGAATCATTAAATAGTGCGCAAGGGAGCAGAGAGGAACTGTAGATTACTGCTCCCTCACACGCTGCCTACAATGATCCCGCGGGCATGCGACCCACACGCTGCCACAGCCGTTTAAAGAATACAGCCAATGTAACCCCTGAGCCGGCCGCCTCCATACTCACCAGTGCGACCGGCTCCAGTGTTCCCTACCGCCGACGGCTTTAATGCTCCCTCGGATGGCTGTCTTAATTAAAGGGCTGACATCCCAGGTGCCAGGACGAAATTTCTAGTTGCCATGGTGACTTTGCACCTGAGATTTGTCGATCCCTGTCATACATCACAAATCCATATTTGTTAATTATAGCGGATATGTGAATTACAAATACTGGTGCTTAAATGTAATTCAGATGGGTCCCTGGACACTACAGAGCCAAACATCTGCATATAGTCTTTCTGTATGTGTTTGGAGTGTAATCACTTATTTGTAGTGAATTGATAACTAAATTAGCAAGATCTAGGCACAAAGTGCCAAGCTGTGGCTATATGTCAGTTGAAATGTTTTTCTAAATTGATTATTTTTCCACAGATTTTGCAGTTCGAATTGCAAATCACTACCTTTCAAAGCAAACTCCGGTTTTATAAAATATGGGACTTTGCCTTTTCCAACAGAGTGTAAAGATAAATTGACCTTTATATTTCATGCATGTTTCCACCTCAAGTCTCTTAGAAATAGGCTATTTAAGCTGTTCCCAGAGGTATGAGCAAACAGCGTCAGTCTGCTTTATGGTGTACATTTTTCAGAACATAAACTACACGCTTGGTGACATAGATTTCCTTCCTTGCCGTGTTATGTGAAGAATATTATTTTGTGTGTGCAAGGATGATCTGTTTAAATGACCAATCTTTTATGTGAGTATAATAACTATTCATTTATAAAATTTGTAAATATGGTCATCAGAGCAACATGCCATTTTTACAATTTCAAGGTTGTTCAGTAAATGCTGGTTAGTAGTGAATTGAAATACGAATTGCTAAATTAAGGCTGATTGAAGATTTCAAACAGTGCTATTTTTATTACAGCTATTATCACTGTTTTAGATGTAAATTTGAAATTCTGATTTTGGTTTGTGTACAGTTGCATACTAGGGTGGTCATGTACAAAAAAGTATGTTATGAAAAGGAATGAAGTCACCAATGCTGCCAATGTAGTCACCCTATTTTCTATGTTAAAGACTAACTTTTTAGTACTTTAGACCACTTTTGAGATCACACTATACATAACCCCCTTGTTGCATATTTACTTATTAATCGCTACATATTCAAGTCTAAGTTGGCAGTTATTTTACTATGAAAATATGCATTCATTACTCCTATATAGCCTTAGAAGTCTGTATTGCTGCTAGTTAGCCCTTGCAGTCAGCATAGAGATGGCATACAGAGACGAAGAGAAATTAAACGGTTACTCTGAGCATCATTACTACAGCCCACTACAATTATTATGGTGCCAGTTGAACTCTGGCAGCATTCCCCAATAAGTAGACAGCAATTTACCTCAAACCCAGGTACCACATGGCTCCCATTGGCTGAACTGGCATCCAGTTTGATCACAACTGCAGAAGCTGAATGCTAATCCTGCTATTCATTTATTGGCTGAGAAAGTCAGCTGAGCACTCTCAGCCAATGACTAAGCCTCTATGCATAGACTGCACAAAATTAATATATAATTATCTAAATATGTGCATTTCTTACTGAAACGCTGTACATACAGGGTTCTTGCACCATGACTACTTCAAAACACTGGTCATGATCTGTGGCCATCGTGCCTGGTGCTATTGCTCTCCCTAATTTGTGGTTTATTCCTGAACTGGATTGTGGTATATTTTTCCAAAGATGGGACAGTTTTCCTATAAGGTGTGGTCTTTAAAAGGTACCTTTCACAGTTCACTCTATTTATGCTCTTTTTAAAGAACATGCATTTCGATCTATACATTGTGTTATACGAATTGCATTGCAAATGTGTCGATTGGGATAAAAAAAAAAGCCTTCTTCAACCTGTCAATTCTATAGACTCACATGTAGTCTCCCATTCTCTTCCTCTCCCTCACACCCCTTAAATACAAGGTGGATCATTAATCATCACTAATGAAGGTTGTAGGGACACATAATGTCACGCCTTGCAACTCCAGCAACTAGAACAGGTTTGTAACGGAGCTGTTTAACCATAAAGTGGCCTTAGGGCCTAGGTGATAGACTGGGACTTTGGAACCATGAATGTTTTTGTCAAATCAGGCATACCTATGTGACAAATGAGGGGGTGTCCAAACAAGTAACCTCCCTTGCAGCCTCCTTCTTACAAATTCCCAAATCACATGCACCATGTGAGTAGGGCGACATACATAGAGATCTTTTGAGATTTGTTCAAAATCGCAATAAAGGGGGGAGGGTGAGAAACATCCTTATGATAATATAATATAATCAGGGCGAGGACTAGGTGCCATCACCCTGATCCCACCCATTGGTGGTGGGTGGGGACACTAATTATAATCAGGGGAAAGACCAAAGGTCCCCCACAAGGTGGCAGACAGGGGCTCTAATTAAATAGAAACACCCCTTTCCTTGGATGTCTAGGGGACCCCCCAATCCCTGAGCCACCCCCACCAAAAAATAAAACAAATGTTTATGAAGTATAATTTACGGTAATCTTGCCCACCTGAAGTCTTCTTTTTCTCATTTTCTTCTTACCTTCATTATTATTCTTTATTCTCTGGGAAGGGCAGGAGGTGCATACCTGGTATATCATTCACATATAATGTCCTAGAAATACAGTTCATTCCAAAGTCCTTTCTAAAAACTTAAGTCAATTAACCTTGATTAAACTTGAACTATACTTTCAAGGGTTGTAGTTTTATCTGCACTCTCCCTTTGACAGTTCTAGTCATAGCCTGACTACTCTTTATTACAGAGGCAATATCGCTATAACCAGATCCCTTGACTAAAGCTTTTTTTCAGAGAAGATTTTTTTTTTCTAACGTCATGTACCAGAACTAATCACTGTACAATAAGCCTCATGAGTTTATCACACTTTATCATGATACGAACAATACTTAAAGGAACACTATAGTCACCAGAACAGCTACAGCTCATTGGATTTATTCTGGTGAGTAGAATCATTACCTTCAGGCCTTTTGCTGTAAACACTGTCTTTTCTGAGAAAATGCAGTGTTTACATTACAGCCTAGTGATAACTTCACTGGCCACTCCTCAGATGTCTGTTAGAGATCCTTCCTGGGTCATGGCTTCCTAAAATGCATCCAAACATTCAGTGTCTTCTTCCTCTGCATTCCGACACTGAACTTTCCTCATAGAAATTAATTGGTTAAAATTAATCTCCATGAGGAGATGCTGACTGGCCAGGGCTGTGTTGGAATTGTGCTGGCTCTGCCCCTGATCTGCCTCCTTGTCAGTCTCAGCCAGTCCTATGGAGAAGCACTGTGATTGGATCAGGCCACCACTTCTGATGATGTCAGCAGACAGCTTGCTATTCTGAGGCAAACAACATGCAGAGCTACAGCTTTAGGCTTTGATACAAGTAAGATTTTGCTATATTTAGGCAAGATGGAGAGAGTGGGGCTAGATGGTGGTTATAACACTATAGGGTCAGGAATACATGTTTGTGTTCCTCACCCTATAGTGTTCCTTTAACATTATTCTCTAATATCATGGTTTGACAAGTAGGCTTGACTTTGACATGGAAAGTTGAAGGTTAGTGAGCTGGTATGCATGTAAAAAGAATTATATTATTTTTAATTATTTATGTGTGAATAGGATGCATGTCCCAATGACCTGCTTGGCAAATGAAGACTGGAAAAAATTACACATGTTAATGCAAAAATAAATATATATATATATATATATATATATATATATATGTGTGTGTGTGTGTGTATTCATGCTGCTTTTTCATATGCATCGTGGGAATTTTGCTTTCACTTTCAGTATTATTTTCTGTATATTTGTCTTCAATAGAGGCCATCAAATATTGTCTTTGTAATGGTTATGTTACTGTAAGAGTGCAGTGTTCAATTCTGGGTTAAACATTCCAGTGTTTTGATCAAATTTGACCTGAAAACCTTTTGATAAAGTTGAAGTTCCAATACAGAAGTTAACTGCTCAAATGGTTTGACTGCAATCCAGAGACTGTCTGCCATAGATGTATTGATTAATTTGTATTTATATCCTTGTAGACTTTAAAAACAAACAAACTAAAAGCATTTGTTTAGAACATGGGTCGTCAACCTGGTCCCTACCGCCCACTAGTGTGTCTGTATGTATGTCTTGTGTGTGTCTGTATGTATGTCTTGTGTGTGTGTCTGTATGTATGTCTTGTGTGTGTGTCTGTATGTATGTCTTGTGTGTGTGTCTGTATGTATGTCTTGTGTGTCTGTATGTATGTCTTGTGTGTCTGTATGTCTTGTGTGTGTGTGTCTGTATGTCTTGTGTGTGTGTGTCTGTATGTCTTGTGTGTGTGTGTCTGTATGTCTTGTGTGTGTGTCTGTATGTATGTCTTGTGTGTGTGTCTTGTGTGTGTGTCTGTATGTATGTCTTGTGTGTGTGTCTGTATGTATGTCTTGTGTGTGTGTCTGTATGTATGTCTTGTGTGTGTGTCTGTCTGTATGTCTTGTGTGTGTGTGTCTTGTGTCTGTGTGTGTGTGTGTGTGTCTGTGTGTGTGTGTCTGTGTGTGTGTCTGTATGTCTTGTGTGTGTGTGTGTCCCTGTCTGTGTCTTGTGTGTGTGTCCCTGTCTGTGTCTTGTGTGTGTGTGTGTGTGTGTGTGTGTCTGTCTGTTATAGTGGGCTATAGTAAGTAATAGTACGTGGGCTACCTAGCTCAGCCTTCCTACTGGGCATTGTTGCTATAAGGAAGGTTAAAAAATAGAAAAAAGGAAAAAAAAAAAAGTGGGGAGGGGAATTGAGGAGGGAGGGGAGCTGATGCACAGATGAGAAATCATATTACGAGCAAACAGAGAAATCGTCTGAATATCACCGAAAGAGGAGACCTTTGTTGCTTATGAAAATCGAACCAGATATCAAATATTTAGTCTCACAGCATCAACCTCAAGGATCTCATTAAATCACTAGTAAAGGTAATTTCAATTTACTTTGTTTTCTCATTAAACTTTATAAAGTTAAAAACATTATAAACATGCATAAAGTAGAAATAAAAAGATAAATGTACGTACATTTTTTTTTTTTTTTTAAAACACCCTCCTTTTAAAAAAAATATTCTGCACTTGTGCAAAAATTGGTGGGCGGTAAGGAAATTTTTCCATCAAGAAAGATGCATTAGTGGACGGTAGGTAGAAAAAGGTTGACTACCACTGATTTAGAATATTGCCTTCCTTTTATTACAAAGCTCAAGATGCAAATATGCTGCAGTAATGAAGTCAAATTACCTTTTGTTCAAGTAGGTGCACTTCAGCATCATCTTTAACTTTGAAGAAAAAAAAAAAACCTTTTCATTGTGACCTTTGCATTAGGGATCGACCGATATTGATTTCTTTAGAGCAGATACAGATACCATTAATCTGTGAACTTTGAGGCCGATAATCGATAATTTACCGATATTCTGTACATTTACCATTTAAAAAAAAAAAAAAAAAAAAACTGAACTTGTTTATTATTTATTTATTCTTTTGCAAAATATACATGCCAGTTAGAATGTGCTGTTTTTTCAAGAATGTGTGTGTGTGTAATGGATGCAGTGAGAGTATTTGGTTAGTGAATGCAGTGTTTGTGTAGTGTGTGTAGTGGATGCAGTATGTGTAGTGTGTGTGTGTGTATAGTGAATGCAGAGTGTGTAAAATGGGGGTGCATTTTTTTTTTTTTAATCTAAAAAATTTAATTATTTTTTTTTTGTCTCTCCCTCCCTGCTTGTTACATGTCCAGGGAGGGGGATATAGCATTCCCTGGTGGTCCGGTGGCATGGACTGTGCAGTGAGGGCCCGCAGCAAGCTCTTACCTTCCCAGCAGATCCTTTAAGCTCCCCTGTCTAACCCGTGGCAACGCTCTGACGGCCACAGGACTCGCAAGATTTAGAAACATAGAAACATAGAATGTGACGGCAGATAAGAACCATTCGGCCCATCTAGTCTGCCCAATTTTCTAAAAACTTTCATTAGTCCCTAGCCTTATCTTATAGTTAGGATAGCCTTATGCCTATCCCATGCATGCTTAAACTCCTTTACTGTGTTAACCTCTGCCACTTCAGCTGGAAGGCTATTCCATGCATCCACTACCCTCTCAGTAAAGTAATACTTCCTGATATTATTTTTTAAACCTTTGTCCCTCTAATTTAAGACTATGTCCTCTTGTTGTGGTAGTTTTTCTTCTTTTAAATATAGTCTCCTCCTTTACTGTGTTGATTCCCTTTATGTATTTAAATGTTTCTATCATATCCCCTGTCTCGTCTTTCCTCCAAGCTATACATGTTAAGATCCTTTAGCCTTTCCTGGTAAGTTTTATCCCGCAATCCATGAACCAGTTTAGTAGCCCTTCTCTGAACCCTCTCTAAGGTATCAATATCCTTCTGAAGATACGGTCTCCAGTACTGTGTACAATACTCCAAGTGAGGTCTCACCGGTGTTCTGTATAATGGCATGAGCACTTCCCTCTTTCTACTGCTAATACCTCTCCCTATACAACCAAGCATTCTGCTAGCATTTCCTGCTGCTCTATTACATTGTCTGCCTGCCTTTAAGTCATCAGAAATAATCACCCCTAAATCCCTTTCCTCATATGTTGAGGTTAGGACTCTATCAAATATTCTGTACTCTGCCCTTGGGTTTTTACATCCAAGGTGCATTATCTTGCACTTATCCACATTAAATGTCAGTTGCCACAATTCTGACCATTTTTCTAGTTTACCTAAATCATTTGCCATTTGGCTTATCCTCCTGGAACATCAACCCTGTTACATATCTTAGTATCATCAGCAAAAAGACATACCTTACCATCAAGACCTTCTGCAATATCACTAATAAAATATTAAAGAGAATGGGTCCAAGTACAGATCCCTGAGGTACCCCACTGGTGACAAGTCCAAGCTTCGAATATATTCCATTAACTACAACCCTCTGTTGCCTGTTACTCAGCCACTGCCTTACCCATTCAGCAATATTTGAATCCAAACTTAAAGATTGCAGTTTATTGATAAGCCTTCTATGTGCAACAGTGTCAAAAGCCTTACTGAAATCTAGGTAAGCAATGTCTACTGCACCACCCTGATCTATAGTTTTAGTTACCCAATCAAAAAAATCAATAAGATTAGTTTGGCATGATCTCCCTGAAGTAAACCCATGTTGTCTCTGATCTTGAAATCCATGTGTTTTTAGATGTTCATCAATCCTATCCTTTAACATGGTTTCCATCACTTTCCCCACTACTGAAGTAAGGCTTACTGGCCTATAGTTGCCTGACTCCTCCCTATTACCTTTCTTGTGAATGGGCACAACATTAGCTAACTTCCAATCTTCTGGGACTACTCCTGTTAACAATGATTGGTTAAATAAATCTGTTAATGGTTTTGCTAGTACACCACTAAGCTCTTTTAATAGCTTTGGGTGTATTCCATCAGGTCCCATTGACTTATTTGTCTTTACTTTTGACAGTTGAAATAGAACCTCTTCCTCTGTAAACTCACGTGTAATAAATGACTCATTTATCCTTTTTCTCAACTGAGGTCCCTTTCCTTCATTTTCTTCTGTAAATACAGAACAAAAATATTCATTGAGGCAGTCAGCCTGACCTTTATCCTCTTCTACATACCTTCCTTCTTTTGTTTTTAATCTAACTAATCCTTGTTTTACTTTTCTTTTCTCAGGAGAGCAGCTGGGAATGTAAGTAAGAACTTGCTGCGGGCCCCTCAGGACCGCCGGGCTTGTCATAGGATTGGTCGATCCCTACTTTGCATACCTTGATATATGTGTGTCTGTATTTATGTCTTGTGTGTGTCTGTATTTATGTCTTGTGTGTGTCTGTATTTGTCTTGTGTGTGTCTGTCTGTATGTCTTGTGTGTGTCTGTCTGTGTGTCTTGTGTGCCTCGGGTTATTATGAACATTTATTACTATGTAGCAAAACTGCATTTCTGTGTGATAAGTGTGAAGTAATTAAGTGTTAAGTAATTAAAAGCAAAATAATTCTAAAGAAAATCACACGGAATCAAATTAAACCATTAATATTCATGCAGGACAATGCTTTTAAAGACTACTTATAGTTTACATTATAACTTTAGAAACACTTACTTGCATTGTTATGAAATTAAAGTATTCATGTTTGTTAATCTAGGAAATATATACATTGATATTTTTATTGAAAATAAATATTACACAAATGGAAAATATAATCCAGACATAAATATGGAACACTTACCCTGCAAATAATGTTTCCTGGGAGCTCCAACCCAGCAAAGGGTAGCACAAAAAGCTTGTTTAGCAAGCAGGTCCACATAACATAAAAATAAAAAAGTAGCTGGTATTCAAACTATAAAAAATTCCGGTACAAATATTCGACAACTGAAAGAAAAAGTACTTAAAACATATGTGACACCTCACTCACTGCAGATGAGTAAGCATTGTAATGTGTGAGACGCATCAAACAAATAACTACTTTACTTTATTTTTTCTATTAATTGTATTTGTAACTGCGTTTTATAGCAGCCTGCGTTTTTCAGTAAACAACAAAATTTTGAGCTTTAGCAACTGAATCCTATGTCAAGGATGGGAACTGAACATTTATAAACCACGTATTTTACAGAATATTGTAGCAGAATCTATCCAGAAGCATACTCTTTTGGCATGCTGCATCATAAGGGTAATGTGTGTGGCCTATGGGTGTTACTATGACCTAAACATTTCTATTGGAAGAATTAATTCCTTCCTAAAGACCCCACTTGTCATATTATGCCTGGGAGCATATCTATTAAACCGTAATGAAATGGCTCTATTCCCATGTAAGTTGACTACACTGGTGCCCCCTCCCCCTAACAATACGAGAACGGTGGACATATTACTGTCTTTGTTCTATTTCTGCATCAAAGGAAGAGTTGAGGCACTGCGAAGGCCTGGGCACCACCTTGCCTTAAGGGGGTTAGACTGTTTACAAAAGGTTTAACCCCAAAGATGTGAATATAGTACTCTACTCTGCTCCAGTTTTTGGCTATTTCCAAGGCTTCACTCTGAAATCCTCAAATTGGGCACTGATGATGTAACAAAGGTCCGTACCCTCACCTACCAACTAAATATAAGTTTGTGTTTGACAAGGATTACTCAGCCTTTGACACTCCAAATGTTGTGGACTATATCTCCCCTGATACTTTGCCAGCATTATGGCTGTAAAAGCAATAAACGAACACTATAGTGTTAGGAATACAAATTTGTATGCCTGACACTAATGTTAAAACACATTTTAGGTGGCTGACTTTCTGCCTCCCTTTAAAAGGTCTACCAAACCCGGGTTGTCTTGTGTCTGGCTCCTACTCTGCCTCTTTGGCTGAGAGCATCAAAATGGACTCTCTCAGTCAACCCAAGGAAGGTTGTTGTGCATGCGAGCAACCCTGCGCCAATCAGCATCTACTCATAGAGATGCATTAAATCAATGCAAGCTCTATGGGGAGCATTCAGTGTCTCCATGCATTGTGCAGCACTAACCCAGGAAGCACCGTTAGTGGCTGCTTGAGTGACCGCCATTAGAGGTGTTCGTAGGCAGTAATTTAAACATTCTTTTCTCTGGAAAACATTAAAAAGCGAGCATTAAGCCGTAGTTCTGATGACAATGGTGTCCTTTAATGGAGATGTAGACTGAAGAGCACTGGTTTACTTTTCAGTTTCTACTTCATTGCTGTACTGCACTTTATTACTTCTTGTATTCTTAGCTTAGCCATTCATACACAGTAAAGTGCTGTAAAGATAGCAATTGAAAACCTTTTTGTTACCTTAAATATTTGCTGTAACTAAATTCCTGGATGAACATATTCAGATGGTTGTCTACTTAGCATATGACATGTCTTTTCTTTAAGTTCAACTTCTTATTTAACCCCTTAAGTATGGAGGTAAATATCCAGTTTGTAAAACAAAACAAAACCTAAAATTTGAGCTATATCTTTGTTCAACCATAACTTACCTCTTTCATGTTAAGTCGGGCTTGACAGATTTGCTTTGAATCTAGGAGCCAAGTTTTTAAACTAACAAAGCTTTTTTTTTTTTCCTTCAATGACAAAAAATAAAATTCTTAAAAGGACACTATAGTCATCAGAACCACCATTGCTTAATGTAGTGGTTTTGGTTACTATAATCTGTCAATACATGCTTTTCAATGTAAACACTGCCTTTTTCATAGAAAAGATAGTGTTTACATTGCTGCCTAGTAAAACCTCTAGTAGCAGTTACTCAGACTAGGTATTTCCTAGTCCAGTGCTGCAGAGTGTGAAGGACCTACATGCAGCGTTTCCACGCTCTACATGGAGGCACTGAATGTACCCTATATAGATGCATTGCATCTCTATGAGGACGGCACAGCATGTCATTTTGCAGCACATGGACAATAGCATCCGAATGCTTTCCTATTGGAAAGCATTGGATTGGCTGAGATCATCAAAACTAATAATCGCAGCCATGGAGGTGGGGCCAGCCACAGTAAGACCAGTATGGGGTGGGGTAAATACACCTTTTCCACATGATTAGGTTGCATGATCCAGTTTCAGTCCGTCTTTCGCTGTCAGACAGATGGTCTCACATTTTACTCTAGAATACTTTTGGTAAACAAGAGTTGATTGACTATTCAATGAACGCAAGGCTTCCAGGTGATGTGGCTGCAAAACAAGCCTAAATCCTCACCCATCCATCACTGTGCTTGACAGTTTGTATGACGTATTTGGCGAAAACCACACAGCATATCTGCAAAAATGTGGCGCTGTGCATTATGGCCAAATATCTCAACTTAGGTCTTGTCTGTCCAAAGAACATTGTTTCAAAAGTTTTGTGCTTTGTTCAGATGCAACTTTGCAAAGTCATGTTGCCATGTTCTTTTTAGAGGGAAAAAAAGGCTTTCTCCTGACAACACTTTATAACAAACCATACTTGTCTTTTTCTAATTGTAGTGAGCTTTATATTTAACATGCTAACTGAGGTCTATAGAGCCAGAGATTACTCTAGTCGTTTGTTTTTCTCTACTCTGAACTTGGGTTAAATTTGCTGGACTGTCCACTCCTGGAAAGGTTGGCAAGTGTCTTGAATGCTTTCCACTTTAGAATAATCTTTCTCATTGTAGAATGATGGACTTTAAATGTATTAGAAATTGCCTTACAACTCTTCCCAGTATAATGGGCAGCAACCATTGCTTCTCTACGATCATTGCTGATGTCTTTCCTCCTTGGCGTTGTGTTAACACACACCTGAAAGCACCAAATGGCTAAAACATCAGCATTTATAGAGGTGGTCACACTTGCTGATGATCAATTAATCAATGGCATTTGAGTAGCAGAACCTGTAATGCTTTCCTATGGGCAGTTTGAATGCGTGCGCGGCTTTGGCCATGCATGTGCATTCGGAGATGACGTTGGAAGGGGGAGGAGGTCACCAGCAACGAGGGAGCCCAGTGTTGGATTAAGGTAAGTGGCTGAAGGGGTTTTAACCCTGTCAGCCCAGCGGGAGCGGGGGCTCCAAGGGAGAGGGGACCTAATAACCCTATAGTACCAGGAAAACAAGTTTGTTTTCCTGGCACTATAGTGTTCCTTTAACCCAGTGGTTCTCAACCCAGTCCTCATGGCCCACCAACAGTCCAGGATTTATGTATTTCCCTGTTTTATTCCAACGGGAATACTAACAAAACCTGGACTGTTGGTGGGTCTTGAGGCATTGTTTGAGAACCATGCTTTTAACCTTTTAATTCCTATAGAAGCAGTAAGGATGTACACACAAGGTTTGCCTATTTTGTCTTTATGTTAAATAGCTCATGACACACTGTAATATGCCATTTGTTGTTGTTCAGGGGAGGTTGTATTTACCTTATTTTAACCCCTTAATGCCGTTACGGCATTCCGTAACTCTGGAGGTCCACGGTACTTACCTCCACCACGATCCGCTTCGGAAGCAGAATCAGGCAGTCCTCCCACGGCAAACCAGGCTTCCAGGGGCCATCGCTCTTTGAATGCGAACTGCCTGGGCCACCTGCTGGTAAAAAAAGGAAAAAATTAATTTAAATAGGTGTGTGTGTGTGTGTGTGTGTGTGTGTGTGTGTGTATATGTGTGTATATATATATATATATATATATATATATATATATGTATATGTATGTATGTATATATGTGTATATATATGTATATATATATATATATATGTGTGTGTATATATATATATATATAATTATACTAGTGTATTTTAATAATATAATTACATATATTAGTATTAAAATACACTTAGAATAAAGTTACATATATGATTGTATATGTAACAAAATACACTAAGAATGACATTGACTCATCCCCCCCCCACCATAAATGGTTACAGAAGTATACACGTAGAGTTTAAATACATATATGTATATATGTGTCTGTGTATATGTGTGTGTATATATTCAAATTCTACGTGTAAATTTATGTAATCTTTTAACATATTTGTGATTTTATTGATCAAAATTTGAGAGACGTGCCTAACAACCCAGGCAGAAAGTCAAAAGAATTTAATTAGCATGCACTATATTTAACTCTTTTTAACTTTCCAACAAACCAGAAAACATGTACATGGGGGTACTGTTTACTCAGGAGACTTTGCCGAACATAAATATTAATGTTTCAAAACAGTAAATTGTATCAAAACGATATTGTCAGTGAAAGTGAAGTTTTTGGCATTTTATACACCCAAACAGCACTTTCTCTGACGATATTATTGCTGTAATATGTTT